CAAGAGCTCAGTATCACGTCTTGACTAAACGTGTTCGTAATCTCAAACGTCCGTCGAACCATATGCTCGCCTTCTGGTACTTTCTCTCCGTAAGGCCCGATAGGAGCCTGAAATAAAAGTTTATCGGCATCGAATGTCAGCGCACCATGCAAAACTCGTGCAGAATAAGGGACCCGCAACACGACTGAAGAGACGTTCGTATGCACACGTACAACGCCCATAATGTATCCCTCACGGTGTCCTATGCGAGTCAAACGAGCGACTGACACAGTCGTGAGCGGTGGTACAATGGTACCTTTGCCAAACTTGATCGACAAATCTCTATCGGGCTCCTCAACGAAGACGGATTTGATCTCGATCGCCGTTTTTCGGGCATTGAAGACACGTAAGTGTTTTGTACTCCTTTCCCGCGCACTCGTCACATCGTCAAACTCTATGTGTTTCTCTACCATATAAATAAGATCTCTTTGCGGGGTGAAAGAGAACGGGATTCGCATCAACGACGTTTCACTCGTAACATTCAACACAAGGTATCCATCGATTGATTTACGTTCGTTGGCGACTGTCATGAACTCTTCTTTGCGAATAAGGATGCGTAAGCGTAAGATTGCGGCTCGCTCTCCCGATGTCAAGGCCCATCTCGCTACGGTACGTATTGTGTCAGAGTCCTCGCTCACGCGCCCACGGTCGCGCGTGACACTCGGCTCAGCCACGGAAAACGTCGCGGGCTCGATCTCTACCTCGGGAGCCGTCGCGAAGGCGCTGTTCACCGCGAGCCTGTGCGGCGTTGGATTGAATAACTTCATGTCAAACTCCACCGGCACGTCGAATGGCACTGTCTCCACGAGCGCGGTCAACTCGTACGGGTTTCGATACACCACGCTCGGCAACAACTGCGTGACCAATCCAACGCTCGTGTTATACATCAACGTGTTCCAAAGGTCCCCCACTCGATTCGGCGAGAAGCGCAAATCGTACGTTCGCGTCTTCCCCGACGGAACCGTCTCTCCCTCCACGAAGTCCATCACGAACCAAGAGTCCCCGTCCACGGAAACTCCGTACACGACCAAATCCACGTCACCAAAGTTATCCACCTCGCTCGCGTATTTGTGTTCCCTGAAGAGCGCAACGCCGTCGCTCGAGATCATCTTCGGCTTCACCCGCGCGCACGCGCGTTCTCCATCGCCCAACGACCGACACAACTCATGCCCGAGCGTCGACTCGTCCATCACGGGATCGATCCATCGTCCGCGTGTCGTCGGCGACGCGCGCGCGCGCGCGATCGCCACGAGGGCGATCGCCACGAGCGTGAAGAGGCGTTCGGCGAATCCGTGGCGACGCATCCGTCGACGCGATTCGATGGGTCGACGCGCGTGTCTCTCGGCGTCAACGCGCGTGCTCGTGTTCCCGCTAACGTGTGCGCATCGTTGAGACGTTTGCCCGCGCGTGAGCCGACGCGGCGACGCGCGCGGTGTGAGGCGCGAAGGCGTCGCGCGGGCGTTCGCGCCGATACGCAGCCGGCGGGACGCGTCGTCGCAGAGTTTGAATTCGATGCGTGATCATTTACAATGCGTGCCGTGTGAAGCGTCTTGGTTATGCCGCGATGGACGTCTATCACGTCGCGGTGGTCTTGTCGGCGAGGTACTGCTGCTTTCGCTTTTCGAGCTCGCGCTTTTGCTCGCGACGCTCCCGCACGCGAATCGCGTCCTCTCGCGCGCGCGTCGCAGACGTCTTCTTCATCGGCTTCGTTCTGTTCTCCACCAGCGTGGGAGCGCTAACTGTTGCGTTCCCGTTCGAACGCTGCATCTTGAGCGACGTTCGCTTGTCGTTCACCTCTTTCGCGAACGAGTCGAAGAAACTCCTTTCCTCTCGCACTCGGCTGGCTATGGAGTCAACTTGCTCCGTCGCGCGCACGACCTCGGGCGGGAGCAAGGGCTTGAACACTCCGGGCAAGATCGTCGCGCCGCTGATTAACAACGCCACGATCGCACCGCCGACGAGGTACGGTCCGAGCGCGATGACCGCGAACACGACTGTCACGGCGAGTATCTCCTCCGGATGTCCCGCCACCTCTCGCGCCGCGGCTCCGAAGAACCCCAGCGCCTCCGCCGGCGTCGTCACCACGACCACGACGAGTAACAGAATCACACCAGGGAGCACTACATACTTCCACGCCGCGTCCACCGCTCGAGGGACGAGCCAGACGACCCCAAGCACCGCCGCCGCGCCGAACGCCGGATGACTCGCGAGCCACCAGAGCGCGTCGCTCGCGTCGCTCGTCCCCCACAGCTCCATCCCATCCGACGCGAGCTCGCGCGCGACGCGCGATGCGGCGACGTCGGCGTTCACGATCGCGCTCGACCCGACGGACGCCCGCGCGACGCCCGCGCGACGTCCGACCAGACCTCGACCGATGATTTCTCCGAGATATTTCGTCCCACGCGTCAGTGCATCGCGCGTGTCCACGCCCCGTCGCGACGTCCACCGCGCGCGCGCGCGCGAGACGGACGCGCGCGCGCGAACGCGCGCGTCCCACGCGCACCCCGCGCGCGCCCCCACCCGCGCGCGCGTCGTGCGCGTCATCGTCTGCGGGCGCTGGACAATCGTCTGGCGCTCGCCGCGGCCATGGTGTGCGCGTCGTGCGCGCGCGATGCGAGCGCGCGTCGTGGGAGCGCGTTGGTGACGTCGCGTCCGATGAGCAAGCGCGATCTCGCGCTGGGACTCGAGGGAGAGAACGCGCGCGAACGCGGCGTGGGCGAGAACAAGGCGTTGACGAGCAAGAGACGGGGACCGTACGGTGGAGCGATCGCGCGCACGTCGTGCGCGACGTGCCGACGGGGGCTGCACACGGGTGGAAAGTATTGTAACGGGTGCGCGTACGCGCGAGGGGTGTGTTCGCAGTGTGGGGTGAAGATCATGGATGTGAGCGCGTACGCGGGACACGAGACGGCGGAGGACGACGAGTCGGGGAAACGAAGGGGAAGAGAAGCGAGCGCGAGCGTGCAAGATCGTCGGGACCTGAACACGGATGATTTGGAGAAGGAGAAGGCGGTTGGGCGTGAACTGGACGAAGAATCGAAGAAGAAGAAGAAGAAGGGGGAGAGAACGGAAGAGGAAGGGAAGGAGACGAAAGAAACGCCGAGCGCCGTGGCGCCGACGCCGTTGGCGGGACCGACGAGCGCGGCGGACGCGGCGAGGGAAATGGGCCAGGCCGCGAACGGTGGTCCAGTGAGTGGATGGCGCTTGGACAGCGCGAGCGGGTACTACTATGACGTCGCCGCGCAGGTGTATTACGATCCAAAGACGGGCGGCTATTTTGATTGCAAGACGCAACAGTGGACGATGCCGGAGAAGAAGACGCAGGCGGAGTTAGAGAAGGGTGTGCGAACAGGTTCGTTCAAGGATGGCACGCGTAAACCAGATAGGTTCGGGTTGTAATGAAAATTCTACAATAGGTGGGCTCACGCGCAGTTCGTCATCAACCATTCGACGCATTCCTCGATGTCGCCCCCGCACGTGTCGAGCGCGTCCAAGCAGTGTTTTTTCGTGAAACCCATGCCCATGAGCATTTGTACCGGACCATCGTTCGTATCCACGGCGATGGTCTCGTACGAACCGTCGTCTGAATCGTCGTTTGAAACCGTCTTTTTCTTGCCGCGCTTTGTTGTCGCCTTCTTCGTCGACGTCGGCTTCGCAGCCGCGCGTTTCGCCGGAATGGTCTTCTTCGGTGTCGGCACTTTCGTTTCTGGCGCCGCGCTGAGCTCTCCAAGCTGTGCGCGTAAGTTCTCGACGCGATCACGGAGCGCGTTGAGAAGCTCCAACTTGTGCTCTCTGCTCAATCCGTCGAGGTCCGTCGTCAACAAGTCCGCCTTTATCACCGTCACCGCCTCCGATGATCCGCCGACCGCGACCATTCCCTTCCCCATGTACCTCTCCGCGCCCACCGGCGCCGCTCTCGGCGCGGCAGGAAGCTCGATCGCCTCCACCTCCTCGTCCGTCAATCCATACTTATTCAAATTTTCCTCCCGAAGCGCCTTGAGCTCCTCCTTCGCCAAGATCCCTCCCTGGTTCGTGATCAACCCATTCTTCCGCGTGACATTTTCCAACGCGTCATTATCCGCCCGAATCCGATCAACGTCCAATTTCAAACCACTGTACTCCGCCAGAGATTGCTTCCCGAGCAAGCGTTGCGTCTGTCCGTTCAGCTGCTGAATCTGCTTCCCCGGGAGCACGCCGCTATCGACGATCTGCACCCACTTCCCGATCCCAAACTTCTTCAAGCACTGTCGCAACGCAAACGCCTCGTCTTTCGTCCATCCCGGGCTCGGGGTGAAGTTCCACAGCGATCGCGCGTCGCCGATCTTCGGTCCCGCGCCGTCCGCCATGGTCGTCCGCTCCCGTCGCGCCAGCCTCGTCGCGCGTCCTCGTCACCCGTCGCGCGCGCGTCGGACGCACCCACGGCGCTCACGCGCGCGCTCGAGCACTCGACCGTTGCCCACGACGCGCGCGCGCGGTCGTCGTCTCGTAGTGCGACCGACAGCTGCGCGCGATGGGTTTCAAAAATCACTTTAAACACCCGCGTGTGCGGGCGTCCACATCGCCGGCGTCGCCCCGCGCATCGCGCACTGCGCGCGCGCATGCGCGCGTTCGCTCGCGCGCGCGCGCGCGGCGACGGCGCTGTGGCGTCGCCATCGCGCCGACGCGCTCGAACGCGCGCGCGCGCGACGGAACACCCGCGAGACGTCCCCCCACAATGGGTCGCCGGCATGATCGCGCTCTGGTTGGACGACGAGTGGGAGCGCGGCGCTTCGATCAATCGGACGATCGGTGCGGAAACCGCGCGGGCGTTCGAGCGACACGCCGCGCGTGGTTCGGCGCTCGAGACCTCGGAGGAGTTCTACGCGCGCGTCGTGCTCGACGTGGCGAATGATTTGACGGCGGTGGATTTCCGCGACGCCTTCGTGAGCGCGTTCGAGACGTCGAATAAGTTGATCGAGATGCTCATGCTGCGCGCGGGCACGGACGTGTGTTGCGTCGGCGAGGACGATATCACTCGCGCCGATCGCTACGAGGCGATCGCGCTCGAGGAGACGTAGACGTGTTGTAGACATTAATTATTCATCGCTCGGTGTCATCAAAACTGTCGGAATCTCGCGCGATCGTCCTTCGGGTCCCGCACGTCGTGACGCTCGGCGCACGACCCGCGCGTCGCGGACGATCGCACCGTCGACGCGGTCGACGATGCAGCGTCTGGTTGACCTCACCCCGGGCGGGTTCGTCCGCCTCATCGCGCTCGCGATCGCGATCTACGCCGCGGTGGACATTCGCCTGTACGCCGTGCGAGAGTACGGGCGAATCATCCACGAGTTCGATCCGTGGTTCAACTTTCGAGCCACGGTGTACCTCGCGGATAACGGATGGAATAAGTTTAAGACGTGGTTCGATTACATGTCGTGGTACCCGCTCGGACGACCGGTGGGGACGACGATCTATCCGGGGATGCAGATCACCGCCGTGGCGCTGTGGAGAGCGTTAAACGCGCTTGGGATTGAGATGTCCCTGAACGACGTGTGCGTGTTTTTCCCGGCGTGGTTCGGGGCGGTGGCGACGTTCTTAGTCGCGATGTTAACGAAGGAGTGCAGCGGGAGCGGTACCGCGGCGGTGGCGGCGGCGCTGGTGATGGCCATCGTCCCGGCGCACACGATGCGGTCGGTCGCGGGAGGATACGATAACGAGTCCCTGGCGGTGACAGCCATGTGCCTGACGTTCTACACGTGGTGCCGATCGTTGAGAAATCCAGAGTCTTGGTGGATCGGCGGTCTCGCCGGATTGGCGTACACGTACATGGTGGCCGCGTGGGGAGGGTACACGTTCGTGCTCAACATGGTCGGGTTGCACGCCGCCGTGCTGGTGATTTACAAACGCTACAGCTCATCTTTGCACAAGGCGTACTCGTTGTTCTTCATCGTCGGGACGATCGGGGCGTTGCAGTTCCCCGTCGTCGGGACGCTTCCTTTTACGTCCGCCGAGCAACTTGGCCCCATGGCCGTCTTCCTCGGTTTCCAAGTTCTCGAGTTGACCGAGCGCACGATGCAGCCGGATTTGAGCAAGCGCGCCAAGTGGCAGAGACGCATTCGTATGTATGCACTCGCCGTCGTCGCGGCGGTCGCGGCGCTCACCGCGCTCGTCGTGGGCGGGTTGTACAACATTAATGGTCTCTCTGTCCGTGTGAAGAGCTTATTCGTGAAGCATACAAAGACGGGTAATCCCCTCGTTGACAGCGTGGCGGAGCATCAACCCGGGAACGCCGATTCTTACTACCGTTTCTTGCACTTCAACTATTACATCGCGCCGATCGGATTCATCTTTTCGGTCGTGCACTTCGTCTTTGACGGATCCGCGGGCGCGATGTTCTTGCCACTGTACGGTTTGGTGGCGTACTACTTTGCCAACCGTATGGTTCGTCTTATCATCTTCCTCGGTCCCGTCGCCGCGTGTTTGGTTGGCGTCTGCGTCGGTTACGCCGTCGAGGACGCCATTCGCATCATGAAGACGAGCGATGAAACCACAGAGGAACCCGAGAAGGAGAAGGAAGTGCCCCTCTCTGCGAAAAAACGGGCGAAGCAGGCAAACAAGAAAAAAACGGAGAATCTAACCGTCATGATCAAGAAAGAACTCGACATGGCGTACCGTAGTCCCGTCGCTCGCACTGTACGACTCGTTTTTATCGCTCTCGGTGCGGTTTACATCATCAGTAAGGCTCCGACGTTCTACACCTACTCGCACGCGATGGCTCAGGGCATGTCGCAACCAAGCATTATGTTCAAGGGACAGCTCCAAGACGGCACTTCCGTCATGGTTAAGGATTACGTCGAGGCGTACGACTGGCTCAGAACGCAAACTCCCGAAGATGCTCGCGTGATGGCCTGGTGGGACTATGGTTATCAAATCACTGGCATCGGCAATCGCACGTCCATCGCCGATGGCAACACGTGGAACCACGAACACATCGCCAACTTGGCGCGCATGCTCACCTCCGAGGAAGAGAAGGCGCACAAGGTTATTCGACACTTGGCTGACTACGTGCTCGTTTGGGCTGGCGGTGGAGGTGACGACATGGCCAAGAGTCCGCACTTGTTCCGCATCGGCGCCTCGATCGGCAGTGGTCGCGCCACAGCTGTCGAGATGGAAAAGATCACCAGCACGTTCGGCGTCGATCGTTACGGTCAACCGACGCCGAAGATGGCAGCGTCTTTGTTGTTTAAGCTCGTATCCCCGCAAGGGCGAGTGAGCCCGGAGCGATTCCAAGAAGTGTACACTTCAAAGTATCGCAAGGTTCGCATTTACAAGGTTGTCAACGTGGACGAAGAATCCAAGGCGTGGATCGCGGACCCCGCCAACCGCATGTGTGACAACGCAGATGGCAGTGGCTTCTGCCCGGGGGCTTACCCGCCGGCGCTGCGAAAGTACCCATCCATCATCAAGCCCGCGTACAAGATTCCTGCTTGGATCAAAGAAAAGCGAGCCACTGAGAAAAGCGAGAGAAAGGCTGCGCAAAAGGATGAACTCTAATTTCGAAAACATAAACCGACGCGTGCGCGTCGTTTAGAACGTAGGAAATTTCAATACACATCTAGACGAACATCGCTCTACCTTCGACACTTCAAGCGTGGTGACAGTCGCCGCGCTAGCTCACAGGCAAAAAAGAGCAATCTCCGCATTGACCGACGTCTCCGGACGCGCTCTGGCGCGTCGTCCGCGCGTGCGAGCTCGGCCGCCGAACACGAGAGCTAAGATTGCGTCGCTCGCGCGCTTTCAGCGATCGAGCGCGCGCTCGGACGACGGCGCGTGTTTTCTCGTTTCAAGAAAACAAAAATGTTCGAATACGACCAGTGGTTCTACATTGCGGACGCCGACGGCGACGGACGCGTCGGCGGCGCGGAGGCAGTGCACTTCTTCATGCGAGCGGGTCTACCAAAGAGCGATCTGGCGAAACTGTGGGACGCCGCGGATAGTGCGCGGATGGGATTCCTGGATCGGCGTACGTTTTCGCTGGCGTGCGTGCTCATCGGCGCGCTGCAGCAGTACGGGACGATCACGCGCGACGTGTTCGAGAAAGCGACGAGTGGACGCACGGAGGGCTTGCCAAAGCCGAAGCTTCAGGGATTGGAACTGACGGAGCGGCCGCGAGAGGCTCCAGAGATGTTCGCGTCGACGGCGACACGCGCAGAGAGTCAACCGTCCAGGGCGCAAGAACCCGCGCCGGCGTATGATCCGTCGATGCAGTTCACGTCTCCTCCGCAAGATGACTTTTTTGCCATGGGAAGCGGACAGGATGGATTCTCAGCGACACCCTCGACGGCGGCCCCTCAAGCGCCGGCGTCGTTTGAGTTCCGACCGCCGCCAAGCGCGGCTTCCAACGCGCCCCTGGCGCAGAATTTCGAGGCTCCCGCGCTTCAGCCACATGCACCGGGCCCCGATGTGCAGTGGCCCGTGATTGGTCCGAGCGATTGGCAGCGATACCAACAGATATTCCTATCACACACAAAAGGCGATCCGGCGGCCAAGCTGACTGGTCAGCAAGTGGCGCCTATTTTACTCGGTATGAACGCCCCAAAACAGGTTCTCAAGGATATTTGGGAGGTGAGCGATGGCGATAAGGACGGGGGGCTGACGTGGTCGGAGTTCGTGGTGGCCGTGTATCTCACGGAACAAGCTAGAAAGGGCATCATGCCACCCAAAGTACTGCCACCTGGTCAGTTTCCACCGTTCAGCCTGACCGCCGGCGCGCAGTCAGTGCCACCGGTGCAGCAGCAAACGCCGATGTTTGCATCGGTTCAATCGAATACGATCACGACCAACGGGCTGATAACACCTAGCATGGTTCGCGATGAGTTACAAACGTTGACGGGTCCTATGTTGGCACCACCTCCGAACGAGGAATATTCCTATCGAGGACCAGTGACGAACATCTCCTCCATGCCACAGCAGGATCAGGATCTGGCGCAAAAAGTGTCTAACGACGCTCAGAAGAGTGACAGGGAGCTTTGGGATCAGGAGATGAAAGAGAGAGCGGCGAAAATGAGCGCGCAAGCGGCGCAAGAAGCTCTCGCCAATCTTGCCATGTTCGTTCGTAAGTGCGAAGCTGCGCTCAGTGAGGCGTCGTATAGGGCGGAAGCGGCCGAAATGCAGGTAAAAGAACTTCGGCAAAAGTATGATTCGATGCAGAATCACGTGCGTGAGCTCGCGGAAAAGATCGAAGAGCCGATCAAACGGATCGAGGCATCGAAGAAGGAGTACGACGACCTCGCGGAGCAGTTTGGAAAGCTGGAAGCTAAACACGCCGATTTAGCGAAGAGCGCTGCCTCTGGTGCGCCAAATGAAGCGAAGGCGGCGCAGGAGTTGGCGAGCATGCGCGCGAGAGTCGAAGAAAAGTCAGCGCAGATCGCGGCAGACCAAGCGCGTGCGAGCCAGTTTGAACGGCTCACCACGTCTCAACCGGTAGCGGCTCAAAATTTCTTCGACCTCAGCGATACCCCGGCGCCCGTGCTCTCGCCGGCTTCCGCAAACGGCATGTTCGATGAGTGGGGTAAGTGGGGTAAGACGGCAAACGAGGAGGTTTCGCTCGCGAAAACAATTCAGGCACCTCCGACGCATACAAAATCACCATCGGATGTTCCCGCGGTCGCCGCCGCGCTCACGGATGTCGGCGGTAATTTCTTCGCGAGCATCGACACGGAACCTGCAAGAGAGACTTCCGCAGTGGACAGTGCACCAGCGTCCTTCGACGCCTACGACGACCCGTTCGGTGCGCCTCCACCGACACCGCCCGGAGGTCCTGACCAGGACGACCCATTTGGCGCCGCGCCTTCGCCTGGTCCAACACCTCCCGCCGTTCGAAAATCCCTCGAGATCGATCCCTTCGCCTTGGGCTAGTCTTTTTTTCTCGCATTAGTGTGTTATCCACCGCGAACGCTCGACTCTTTCGCGACACGCTCACGTCCCCGCCGAACGCTCCACCGCCCGCGCGTCCCGCGACCACGCGCGATGAAGATCTCATAATCTCATCACCGCACACCCCCACCCGCGCGATGTTCAAGCGCCTGGCGAGCGCGCGCGGCTCAAAGGACCGCGTCGTGCACTTCACCGTCACCGTCCACGCCCTCGAGCCGTGGATCGGTGTTGGCGTCACGGGCGTCGCGAGCGAACGCATCGCTCTCGGTTGGGAACGTGGCGCGAATCGACGCGGTACGACATCCGTGAGCGACCCGACGCCGTTAGATGACTACGGAAGAGCGTCCCGATACACCTTCGAGGAAGAGATCGCGATCGATGCCACGGTACAAAAGGGACGGGTGAAGGCTTTGCGATTCTTCGTCTTGGCGATTCCGAGCGGGACGGCGCTGGGCGGCGCGGTGGAGACGCGAGTGGTTGGTGGATGCGACGTGGATCTCGCGAAGTTTACGGATGCGAACGATGGAAGGGGTGTGACTTTGGAGGTTGGGTGCGGAGACGACGTGCGAGCGGCGGTCGGGGCGCCGCGATTGACGATTACGGTGCGCGCGCGGGTCGCGGATGGAAATATGGAGATCGAGCCGCATACGCCAGAGGTGAATCGCGGCCGCGTGGCGGCGCAGTCGTGGGCAGCCTCAGGGAGGTTTCGCGATGAGGAGTCGGTGAGCGATCAGTCCACCGAGCAGGCGGCGGCATTCACGAAGGCGGCGAGCATGTTTAAAAAGCGCGAACCGAAGCACGAGGAGTCGTCGGCAATCGAAGCGCCAAGAGCGCTGAACATCGAGAACGAACCTCAGATGAGCGCCTCTGGAAACGAGATCGTGCCCGCGGTGCCGGTGACGACCGCGACGCGGGAGAGCGCGCCCTCTGGAGAACCTGACGGTGACCCAGAATTAGAGTCCGCTCGCCTCGAGTTGTTTGGCGTTCGCGAGGCACAGTCGCCAGTAACGCCAACTCCCAAGGGCGATGTCGACTCCGATGGTTTCCTTCTGGACTCAGATCTCGAGAGCGACGGTGAAGACGACGAGCATATCATCATGGAATTCACTCCGACTCCGCTGAAAGATAAAGCGACAGAGGATTTCGAGCGAGCCGCGGAGGAAGAGGCGCTTCGTGTCGAAGCAGAGCGCGTTGCAGCCGAAGAAGCCCGCATGCAGGTGGAGGAAGATGCGGCGGTGGCTCGTATCGAAGCGGAACGTCTCGCGCTAGAAGAAGAGGAACGAAAACGCATCGAAGAGGCCAGATTAGCGACTATTCGCATCGAAGAAGAGCGACTCCGCCTGGAGGAAGAGGAACGTCTTGCACGAGTCGAATTTGAACGAGCACAGGCTGAGGAAGAGGCAAGACGGCTCGCAGAAGAAGACGCGATTGCGGCGGCCCTAGAGGAAGAGAAAGTGCGCGCCGAGGAAGAGCGACAGTGGGAGATAGAAGCGGCGGTGGCGGCGGCGCGCGTAGATGAGTTGGAGCGGCAGGCAGAACTCGCACGAATGGCAGAGGAAGATGCTGTTCGCAAAGCTGAAGAGGAAGCGCGACTGAGAGCCGAAGAAGATGCTGTTCGCAAAGCTGAAGAGGAAGCGCGACTGAGAGCCGAAGAAGATGCTGTTCGCAAAGCTGAAGAGGAAGCGCGACTGAGAGCCGAAGAAGATGCTGTTCGCAAAGCTGAAGAGGAAGCGCGACTGAGAGCCGAGGAGGAAGCTCGTCACCGAGATGAAGAGGAGGCGCGCTTGAGAGCGTCAGCTGCCGAGGAAGAGGTCATGCGAGCCGCAGAGCAAGCGGCCGCTCAAGAGGCTGCAGCGGCGGCGCAGGCGGCCCTTGTAGAACAAGAGCGTGTGCGCGCTGAAGAAGCGCTGTGCGCGGCTCGAGAGGCAGAAGAGCTTCTCAGATTGGAAGAAGAGGAGACCCTCCGAGTGGCGCAGTTGGAAGCGAGATTGCAAGAAGAACGTGAGTTGGAAGCGAGATTGCAAGAAGAACGTGAGTTGCAAGCGGCAGAAAGTGTGCGAACGGCGTCGATGCCTGATGTGGACGTTTACGCTGAGGAACCGATCCCTGAAGATGCGGCTGAGGTATTGTTTTCGGGCTCGCCCTCAGCTCAGTCTGTTGGTTTCAGCACTCCGATGGCGCACTGTGACGACGCGTTCTATACACCTGGGACGCACCGCACTCGTTTCGCGGATTCAGTCGCTAAACCGACTCGCAACCGTGAACTGGAGGATGAGGTCATCAGTATGTCTCTCTGCGACATCCTCATCCACAGCGCGGCGATGGACTCTGGTTTTACCACCGCTCTTGGCCTCAGCGAACGTATCGCATCTGTGCGATCTACACAAGGTTTGGAGGGTTCACAACTCGAGTTCCGTCGGATTATGGATTCGTTTGGAGTAGCAATCAAGGGCGCACTGAGCAATCCTTCGAGATCGGTGTTTTTGGCCACTCAGCTTATCGCCCTGAGAGTCTGTCTCGCGAACATGGATGATATCGATACTCGCGATCTGATCGAACTCGAGATTGTCGCGCGGAATTCAGCGTTTGAGACGCTGTGGACACAGACTTTCGGTTCACTGCTCGCTCCGTCCGACGCCACGCTCAAGCTGTTGGGCCTGAGTTCGCTCCCGAATGGTGACGGCGAACGCATCGGCCGCGCGTGGGCTGTGATGTTTCAGTTCGCCAAGGTTCGACTCGGTGTTGATTTGGTGACGAATGCGCGCGGCACGCCGAATGGTGCAAAGCCACTGACACAACAGCTTCAGAGAGAGATTCTCAAGAATCTGATGTTGAGACTCGATAAATCGGTCTTAGACGTTTTGCTCAAGCCGACGGAGGACGAAAAGGTGAACGCGATGCTCCCCGGCCGAGGTGCGCTGACGTTTGCAACAGGTGCTGAGTTAAAGCGAGCGATTTCCGCGCTCGTCGGTATCGTCACCGAACTCAACCTCGGTACGGGTCCCGACTCGGTCACTCCCAAACTCCGAGCAGCGGCGGATGTGTGCATGATTCCCAAGGACGCACTGACAGACCCTCAGCTTCGCGCGGATATCTTGTGCGGCAAGCTGAGCGGCGAAGAACTTTCAGGAATCGTCATTCGTTTCCGCCCGGATGATTTCGCACCGCAGCCCGTGGACCAGTCCGTCATCAACGCCGTCGTCGCCGCCGCGGCAAGCGAACACACCGAGTTCGATCCGTCTGGCGTCGAGCCGTGCGTGCCGGTGAGCACACAAGACGCGCCTTGGGTCGCCAACTTGGCGAGCGCGCTCGCGGCGTCCGATGGCTCGACGGTCGACGTCGCCATGCTCCCGGGTTTCAGCGCCCACGCCTCCAGATGGTCCCTCGTCGCTGAATCCCTCGCACGATAGTCACTCTCTCTAGTTTGCGCTCTTGTGACTTTTCCAATTCAGATCAACAAGTCCTTCACACCCCATCCTTCTTCACCTCCATCCGCGCCCGCATGAAGTCCTACCCCAAGAAGCGGTGGGAGCCCGAACTCCGCGATAAGCGCTCGAAGATCACCCGAACCGGCGGCTTCACGAACGCCCAAGGGTTGAACATCAGATGGTACTCGTGGGAGGTGAAGAAACCCAAGTGCGCGATCGTCTTCGCGCACGGCCTGGGGGTGTACGGCTCGTTCGAGATGCTGGCGAGCGTCCCGCCGGGAACACCTCGGGTGCATTACTCCACGAGCTGGCCCGAGCGCATGAACGCGAGAGACGCGAGCCTGTTTTGCATCGATCACCAAGGACACGGACGAAGCGACTCGGCGGTTAAGGGAAAGCGGTGCTACTTTCATCGATTGGATGATCTAGTGAATGACTTCAGGCAGTTTTGTGAGCTATTGCGAGATGATTTGGGGGGAGACGTGCCCGTTTTCGTGGTCGGGAGCTCTCTCGGGGGATTCGTGGCGACGAAAACAATGATGGAGTCCCCGAAGGCGGCGAATGGTTTGGTGACACTGGCGCCGATGTTGAGCCTGGACGCGCTGTCGAATCGACCGATCAATCGAGTGTTGATTCCCATCGGTGACGTGTTGTCCGCGTTGGTTCCCACCGTTCCGATCGTAAAGACGCACAGGAACGTGAAGTTCCCGCTGACGCAGAAGGAGGTGGAGGACGACGCGTTGACGTGGCCGAGCGGAGTGAGAAACACGCGCGTGCGCGTCGCTTCCGAGGCTTACAAGAACACGCTGAAGCTCAAGAAACCAGGCACTTTGGAGAGAATTACCTGCCCGGTTTTAGCGTTCCACGGTAGAGATGATCCGATGACGGACCCGCGCTCGAGCTCAATGCTCTACGAACGCGTGAGTAGCGCCGACAAGCGCCTGCAGTGGGTCGACGGCGTCTTCCACGACCTGTGCCACGAAAAGCCGTCGAGTGACGAAATCTGTGACGAGATCATCGAGTGGTGTCTCGCCCGCATCTCCGGGCCGATCCTACCCAAGGCGGCCAAGCGTGCGCGCGAATCCGACCGCGGTGCGGAGAGCGTCAAGCGTCGAGCCAAGCAACCGACAGCCGCGACGTCGAAGACGAAACCCACCCCTCGACGCGCGCGATCGCGCTCGTCCGCTCGTTGATGCCCGAGCGCATCCACGCGTCACGCGCATTCTCACCAGACCCGCCCTCTCCATCGCATTCTTCTGTATCAAAGTAAGGTAAATCGTCTCGACCGAAACCTCTCCAAATATCCCGAATACACGTTGCCGCGGCGAGGACGCAACACCCACGCGCCAATCGGCAGTCCTCGACGCCGACGTCGAGCGAGCGGCGGTGGAAACGCGGTACAGACGGATACGAAAGACGGTGCAGATGCCCACGCGATCGATCACGCTCGTCTCGGCGCTCATCGCGCTCGCCTGTCTCCCGCGTTCGTCATCGGCGGTCAAGTTTGGCGAAGATTTCACCGACACGCTGAAGAAGAAGCCGGCGCCGATGGAGGGACGAACGTACGCGCGCGATTTCGAGGGCACGCAGATCTTCGCGGATGACTTGTCCACGGCGTACATGCACGGTCTCACGTGTGGGGCGTGCATGGCGGTGTTGAACGAGACGAAGAGGATTTACGATGAAATCATAGAGACGAAATTTCATCACCCGGACGACGTCACCGGGGGCGCGATGTACGATTATATGCACGAAGCGACGGAACCGGATGAGTTTTGTGATGGGAACGCGTTGTGGGAGAAGTACGCGGTGAACAATATTACCGGACACGTCGCGAGCGCGGCGTGGTTGCGTCTCCGAGCGGTGAGCCAGTTGCGCCTGCACGGGCAGTTTGAAGGAACAGAGATGGGAAAGCGAGCGATGGCGTCGCTGAATGAGTATCGGTGGGCGATTGATCTCGGGTTGTTGGGTTACGATCTGTTCTCCCTTATCGAGCCCGACGAAGAGCGTTTCGATCCGATTAAGTTGGCTGAGACTAACGACGTGGAGGTTCCGGAGGAAGACGAGGAGTATCTTCAAAAGACGGACACTCGCGAGTTCATTGTACGATCGCTCAAGACGCATCCGTATCGTATCGCAAGGCAGAAAATGAAGCTCGAACAGGTGTGCCACGACATCGTTAAGAGCAGAGCTTACATCCAGAGCATGCTTCACAGAGGACTTATAAGGGACCTTCACTACGAAATCTGCCACTCTACGAAGAAGTGCATGTGGAAGACTCCGCACGAAGTGCGCCAGATCGAGCAAGCTCGCAAGCTCGCCGTCGACGCGTATCTTGAGGCGCTCGTAGATGAAGGTGCGGACGCTTTCGGTGACGAAGACGGTGACGAGGAGGAAGAGTTGTAGACTACAAAAAGCTGCCACGCTCTCCTCGAAGAAGCGTGTAACACCCCATTCCACGTTTTGCTCAAACATTCAACCAACCCTTGAGCGCAGCCCACACCCAAGTTGTAAGTCGTATTTCAGGTGAAATAGTTCACGAACATCAGCCCTTAAGATAACGCCAATAATGATTCGAGAATTTTTGTATCTTAAGCGTGATTCGATTCTTACTCGGAAAAACCTTGTACGAACACTTGTCGACCATGACCTCCTTGTAAAGCTTTCGAATGTAGAATCTATAAGCGCGAGTTTTTCCGAACGCCCACATCTCTAGCGCGCGACTTTCAAAGCACACGTAAACATCGCTCTTTTGAATCGGTTCCGGCAGCTTCAAACGAATATCCGCGAGTAAGTCTTCCTCGTAGAATTCATACTGACCCAGTTCAATGAGCTCCAACTTTTCACCGCCTAATAAGTCTTCGATGTCGATCAGACCTTTATCTGAGAGCTCTGGTGGTAATCTCTTGAAACGATTGAACGACTCGCCTCTTTCTGGGGTTCTTTCCGCGGAAGAAAGATCGGCAATGCGTTGATACGGGTTCTGCTTCTTCAGAATCATCATTTGATGTCTCTTCATGGCGTCAACGAGTTGTTTCGCCGCCAATCGATGACCGACGGGTAAATCCGCACCTGGGCCTATAGTGAGTGATGCATAAGCTCCTAGGACATACATCGATGTTCCCGGCCATCGGCACCCACCTCCACCTCCCGCGGCCGCTTTGACGCCTTGTTGATGCTCATCTTCGAAATCCTCCTCGTCGAGCAACGGAAAGCCTCCGGCAATTTTCACCTGCGTGGTCTGACAAAGCGTTTGAAGAGCAGAATCTTTCTCTAAATCTACAACTTCTCCACATGCGAGCCAAATCTCATCATGCGCGCTCGTGACTTCTCTTTCGAACTCTGCAAGAGCTGCCGCGCTTGGTTCAATTCCCTCGTCACGATACATTCTGTGCATGGTGGCTTCAAATTGCACTCTAGCCTCATCAGTGGGCTTCATTCGCACGCGCCACTTACTCTCTTTTTGATTCCAAGTCGCGTCAATCACTACGCGTTGCTCCATTATTCTCAGTATGCAATCTTCGTCAGCTTCCGTGTTCGATTCGGTCTCTCTTAATCGCCGATGCGTGTGCTCATTCACACTCGCTCGTGACTTGTAAGATTCGAGACGTTTTGATCGAAGCTGCGCGTCGTCGCACGCGTGAAATTCGCGCAACCCTTTACTTCCGAAGTATTTCACATCGCACTCGAATTCACTTACGACGATTTTCTTTCTGCACATCAGAGTCACCGCCTTGGCGCCTCTTGAGTGCGCGGAAAGAGCGAGCGTCGCCGCCGTCATCCCACCCCCAATCACTAATACGCACTTGTCCCGTACTCGATTCTCCAAGCTCACGTCGATATCTCGTGCGCACATGATGCCGCACTCTGTGCCCTGACCGTCGTACTCTGCGTGCGCTTTGGCGTACGAATCCTTCGCATCGAACACCCAAGAAGGCACCATAGGCGATGAAAACTTTGGCGTCCACACGCATCGAGCGGAGAGAATTCTCTTCCCAGTATCGAGCGTCAGCAGCATCGCTCCGAAACACATGAGCTCTGTGTTGTTGTCGTCAGCCTTGAGCGCTGCTTGAACTTCCTCAGAGTCCGCCCCGCACCACCGCGCGTCTACCACTGCTCCTCGCACCAACCTCGTGTTTCCAAACCGTTCAGAGATAGTCTTCGCGCAGTACTCCGCGAACACGCGCACGCTCGGGATCCCGGTGAATCCGTCGCTCTTGCGATAAATCTCTCGCGTTTTCCCCGTCATCTCGACGTACCGCTCGAGCCCGCACGCGCTGTCAAACGGCACCTGCGTCGCCGTCGACCGCAGGTGCGTCGTGCCCGTGCGTAACTGCGTCCGAGCGAACGCGTGCAACCACGACCCCGAGGGATCGATCACGACGCATCGACGAAGCGATTTCTCCGGTAATCGCGATAAAACGTTCAGCGCCGCGCGTCCGCTCCCCACAACTGCGATCTCGACGCGCTCGGTCGTCATGGAAAGAAGATTTCGAGAGTGTGAACGTCGATCCCTCGATGAATAGTCTCACGCGCGGTTTGACGTTCGTGACGGGCGATTCGACGCGCGAATGAGACAGATCGCTCGATCGTATTTTTATCGTCCGTTGCGCGAAATGTCGCCGCTATCAAGCGATGACTCACGCGTGAGCGTGTGCCGAGGTATCCTCGGCGAGCGTTAAAAACGCCTTTTGCTTGTTCCCAGGACAGGACAGCTCTTGAGAATGTCTTCTCAAGGAGAATCTCAGTCAGCGTCGAGCCTTGCGCGAAGTGCCGCGTTTGATTACATTAAATCATATTCCTAACGAATCGCCTACTAATCCGCGTCGTGATCAGCCTACAACGACGCCCACACAACTCCAACCCTCCGGACCGCTCACCGCTTCAGGCCCAGCGCATCCATGGTTTGCGAGTACTCCTCGAAGTTCTTCTTCTTGAGGTAGTTTTGAAGGCGGCTGCGCTGACCCAAGAGCTTCTTCAGCCCGCGTTGGGTGGAGTAGTCCTTCTTGTTCTTCAACAAGTGCGTGGTCAAACCTTCGATGCGTCGCGTAAGGAGCGCGATTTGCACACTCGACCCACCGGTGTCGCTGGCGCCGCCCTTTTGGAACGATGCGACATCAGCCACCGCCGGCCGCGTGCGCTTATCCGCTGCGACGACATGGAGCGCGCCTCGGCGTTGGGCCGGTCGCGTTTGCGGCGAGAACGAGCTCGAGACGGCTGCGTGGTCACGAAAACACGCGCGTTCAGGTCAGATAAGGGTTAGGGTCAAAACGTCAGGGTCCCATGAAGGCGAATGACGCCCTCGTTCGCGACGACGACGTTCGTTCACGAGCTCGCACGCGACGGAACTACATCCGTCACGTTCGCATACGTCATCCAACGTCGCACACGACCCACGAACGTCGTCGGCCACGCGTGACGACGCGGACGACGCGGACACGCCGCCGACCGACGTCGACGACGCATCGCGTCTTTGGCGCGTCGACGAACGCGCGACGCGTCGCGCGCGACGCGACGCGCGCGAGTGCCGAGCGAGAATTATCGCGCGCGCGATGCAACGCGCGAGACGCACCGATGCGAGAGCCGGAGACGGCGGCGACGGCGAACATGTTTCTCGACGACGTGTGGCGCGCGCGCGCGTCGAGGACGACACGAGGGGGACTCCACCACGAGTCATGACTCGAGGCACCCGTCATCACGCATCGCTCGCGACGACGACGACGACGACGACGACGACGACGACGACGACGACGACGACGACGACGGGACGGGCGATCGACGACGACGACGACGACGACGACGACGACGACGACATATATCGCGACGCGCGCGCCGTCCGTTCGGCGACGCGCCCGTCAGCGCCGTCGACGTCGTCGCGCGGTGGACGAGAACGACGATTCGACTCCGCGCCGCGCGACGACGTCGACGCGCCGCACCGCGCGGCGCGCTCGCGACCATGCGCGCGGCGTCGCGGTCGAGCGCGAGCGAACGCACGGGTCCCATCGCGCGCGTCGCGCGATCGAGCGCGCGCGCGAGGGCGGAGGGCGGGGCGAGAAACGCGCGCGCGCGGGCGGCGGCGGCGGCGACGGAGGCGTCGCAGGATGCCACGGCGCGAAAGATGGCGATCGAGTTCGCGGTCGTCGCCGACGACACCCGAGCAGTAGAGATCGAGGTCCTGGAGGTGTCGAAGAAGGTGTACTACGCGCGGTACGTCGTGATCGCGACGGCGTTTAACCGGCCGCAGATGAACGCGATTTGCGCGAAACTGCGAGACGTGGCGAACGACGAGTACGGGATGTCGGTGCCGAAAAGCGCGTCGCAACAAGGGGATTGGGCGTGCTTAGACTGCTATGACGTCGTCGTGCACGTGTTCTCGCCGCAGTCGAGGACGCATTACGACCTGGACGGGTTGTACAGGGGGGCGGAGAAGGTGGCGCTCCCCTTTGTCACGGAGACGCGAGGCGGGAGAGAGGACGAGTTCGAATACGTCGAGGACGACGAGGAGGATCTCGAGGAGGATGAGTTTGAGCTTTTTGAATAGATGGGTGAGTTTTGCGTCGCTCGCCTTTTGTTATTAATACGTGCCACACTGTATTCGCATTCGCGTCGAGCAACCGTCGTCAGCCGCCGTTCGAGCCTCAGAGGAAGACGCGCCATGGCGCGTCAACGCGGCGTCGATCGACGAGACGGCGTCCTCGCATTTGTCATCGCCGCGCTCGCTATCATCCACACGCGCATCGTCACGAAACTTCGCAATGCGCTCGATGAACATGAGCGAGAGAAGCGACGGCTCCAGAGCATCCTGCGCGTGCGGGACGCGCCGCGCGCGCACGGTGACGGCCTGTTCGAACCAATAGGTGTCGCGCGATCGTCGTTCAGTCGACGAAACGGGACGCCACGCCAAGGCGGGGCTTTGGTTCCGCTCGCGAGGTGTGAGATCAAGCTCGAGGCGAAGCTCCCGCGAGCGCTCTTGGAGGGCCTGGAGGAGTACTCGCACGCGTGGGTGATTTACGTCTTTCACGCCAACACGAATCTGACGGGAACGAGAGCAGGAGGGGCGGCAAAGGGGAAGGTTTCGGTGCCACGACTCGACGGTGGACGCGTCGGGGCGCTGGCGACGCGAACGCCGCACAGGCCGGTGCCGGTGGGACTTTCGGTGGGAACTGTTGAGCGTGTGGACACCGAGCGAGGCGTCGTGGTTTTGGGGGGGATGGATTTGGTCGATGGCACGCCCGTTTTGGATATTAAGCCGTACGTGCCATTTTGCGATTCTATCGACGGTGCGAAGGCGCCGAACTGGGTCGGGAGGGAGGCGGTTGGAAAGGATGAGCCGCTGAAAATTGAGCGCGTTGATTTCGCCGAGCGGGCATCCGCGCCGCTCTCAAGCTCGTTCGTTCGGAGCTCGTCGGCAAAAGCTTTATATTCGGGGGTCGATGCGTTCAAATCATTCGTCAAGGAGGTATTGTCGTACGACATTCGATCGATTCGCGAGCGCAACGCGCCGCCAGAGAAGCGAAAATTCGATACGTATCGAGTCATCCTCTGCGATGTCGAGGTCGAGTATACAATCACCGATCGCGTGGTTGAGGTCATAGGCGCCACGGCTATTCCTCATGAAGTTTTCGACGATTTCGAACGCGCGAAAGCCGAGATTGAGGCGCGAGAGGCGCTTGGTGAGCTTCCGAAGAGAAGGGCAGCAAAGTAGTTTTAGCGAATAGCAGTTGCTTACGAACGTGACATACTCTAGAGCAGCATCGTCATCGGATCCTCTATGTAACCCTTGAATGACTGCAGCCACATAGCGCCAACGGCACCGTCCACAACCCTGTGGTCACAGCTCAACGTCGCGCTCATGACTGTGATTTCCTCGTATCCGCCGCTCTCGTTCTTGATCACTTCCTTTCTCGCGCCTCCGACGGCGAGAATAGCCGCTTGCGGCGGATTTACGATGGCGGCGAAGCTCTTCACGCCGAACATGCCAAGATTACTAATGGTGAACGTTCCGCCAGTCATGTCTTGGGGCGTAAGACTACCTTCGCGCGCGCGACTGGCGAGCGCCTTGACTTCGGAACTGATTGTCTTGAGACCAAGACAGCACGCTGATCGTACGATTGGCACCATGAGACCGCGTTCGGTTTGGACCGCGACCGAAATATCTGCCTTTTTATACCTACGGATCTTATCGCCGAGCCAGCTAGAGTTCACCTCTGGAACCGCAAGCAGAGCCTTAGCACTCGCCTTGACGATGAAATCGTTTACGCTAATCTTCGCCCCCTCTGCAGCCTTGTCGTCCGCAAGCTGTTTGTTCAACGTTTGACGGATGCTGATCATGTTATCCAATCGCACATCTACGGTGAGATAGAAGTGAGGCACCTGTTGTTTGCTCTCCGTCAGACGCTGAGCCGTGACACGCTTGATGGCGGTGACGCTCACATCCTCGAAGTCTGGGAAGAACTTTGACAGCGGGTGGTCAACCGTAACTTCTCGCGCCGCCTCAGTTGCATTCACCCCGGTCTCGTGCGCCTCATACACGTCAGCCGCGATCACGCGTCCGTTCGGCCCGGTCCCGCGCACGTTATCCAGGCGCACGCCTCGCTCCTTGGCTAACCGTTTCGCCAGAGGCGAAGCGAACACGCGGTCACCGCTCGCTCGCGTCTCCGCTCGCGTCGCCCTCGCGCTCGGCGCCGACGCGACCGGTGCGACCGATGGGCTCTCGACCGGTCCGCTCGGTGCCGACGCGACAGGCGCCGCGCTCTCCGCCTTGATCGCCACTGTCGAGGCGTAATCCTTGAACGCCTCCACGTCCTCCGCGTTCTCGCACGTGACGCACACCGGCGTCCCCACCTCGATATCCTGCGCCCCAGCCTCGACCAATATCGCCGCCATAAACCCATCTTCCGTCGCCTCCATCGCCATCGTCGCCTTATCCGTCTCGACGTCCGCGATCGCGTCGCCCGCGCGTATCGCTTGGCCGACTTCGACGTGCCACGAAGCGATCCCGCCGCGCGTCATCGTCGGCGACAACGCGGGCATTGGCACGATGACGTGCTCGGGAAGGGCGTCGGATGACCATGATCGGGCGAAGAACGCCTTACGCGTCCACGCGAGCGTCGTGGCGCTCGAACGACGCGTCGACGGCGATGCAACCGATGCGCGAGCGACTGAAAGTTCAACGCGCTGGGCGAGCTCTCGCGCGCTGGGCGCGCGCGCGATCGCGGTGAGCGAGCGCGAGAGGCGCGAAGACGCGCGTTTCATCGCCGATCGTCGATTCGCACGCGACAGACGCGCGCGAGGCGGCGTGTGCGGACGAGCGAGCGGTTGATCCTCGCCACTTTGAAAAACCCGGGTGTGGGGTTAAGTTGGCGACGCGAGCGAAGACGAGCCAAGACGCGAGCTGCGGGCGCGCGGAGTTTTCGCGTGACGATACGGCTGACGATTACGGTTACTAATCTATGAATGACTACGAGGCGAACTCGTGCCGATGCTAGGGTGGCGCAGAGTTCGAGGCGTGCGCTCTACGTCCGGGCGGTAGCTTGGGCTTGGCTCGAACGGGCGGCGGCGGATCTTCGGTGGAAGACTTCGAGGCGACGGCTCGAGGCGGGCCGTCGTGTGTATTTGCATTTCTCGACGTAATCGACGGCCTCGTCGACATCGTCGCCGGTCTCGTCGGTGCCTCGAGGTTGGTCTCAGCAAGTCGTCTCGCGACGACGGACGCACCGGCGGTCGTGAGTCTCGATCGTACCTCGACCGGCTTCGACGGATCGAATTCGACAAACTTTGGCGCATTGGTAGAGATTTCGGAGGTAGACGCACCGTCCGCGGCTTTGCGCGCGGCCTCTCTTGCGCGTCTCTCTCGCGAGCTCGCCTCCGCCACTTCCGCCACGCGTCCGCCGAGCGCCACGACGTCTCCGTCCCCCACCACCACCACCGCACGATCACTCGCCCGACCGAGCGAGCGTTCTCGAATCGCAATCTCACTCCCCGGAATCAACGCGTCGACGGTCGCGATCGAGGACCATCGCTCGCCCTCGACCACCGCGACGTCCCTCGTCCCGGTCGTCGCCCGCACCTTCAACGTCCGCCTCGACGTCCCTTCGCTCGTCCCGTCCGCTTTCGCGATCGAACAATCGATCGCTTCGAGCACTCGCCACGCGCAAAACGCATTCCCGTCCGCGCCCTCGTCGTCGTCGTCGATCGAGCGCGCTCTCAAGTCTGCGCTCGACATTGTGCTCGCGCGCGCGCCGCTTCGAATCGCTCTGTCACCGTCGACGCGACGCCCCTCGACGCGCGCGCGGACGGGAACGACCGCGCGCGTCGATCGCGCCGCCGTCGCGTCGACCGCGCCGCGTCGTGCGGCGTGGCGCCGGGCGAGGGAAAATTTCCAAACGTCGTTGTGACCGTTGGAATCCCATCGGCATCGTTCGACGCGCGCGCGCCCTCGCGTCGCTCTCGACGCGCGCGCGCGACGCACGCGTGGAAGAAATGTCCGCCGCGCGCAGGCGCTCGTCCTCGCGCGCGTCGACGCGGCGTCAGTCCCCAGCGAGCGCGGAGGAAAACGAATATGAAGAATTTGAAGAAATCGTCGACGTGGAGACGCGCCGCGAGGTCGTCGCGATGAAGACCACGGCGGTGCTCAACGCGAAGGTTCCTTTCGCCGTCGCCGCGTCGCTGGTGATCGCGACCGCGGGATGCGCGACGGCGGCGCTGGGATGGCACGCGCGAGAGACGGCGTTGGCGCTCGCGAGCGCGCGGGTGAGCGCGACGAGCGTCGATTTAGGGCCGGCGACGCGAAGGATACGGGTGCTTGAGGAGCAAGTGGAAGCCCTTCAAAGGAATCGCGAGGATGGTCGCAAATCGGCGGAGCGAGTGGTGCGCGAGGCCGTGCGTACGTTCGAGCTCGAGCGGGTGGAGTGGACGACCAAGGCAGAGGCGGAGGCGAGAAAGGGCGAGACGCGCGTCACGCAGGAGATCAAGGCGGTCGCGGAGTCCGTGTCGGCGCTCACGGAGAAGGTGCGAAAAACCGCTAAGCTCAAGAGCGAGATTACGAGACTAGAGGCGAGCGTGGCAAAGTTGAAGAGCGCCCAAGCGTCGCTCGACAAATCGAGCAAGTCATCCTTTGCGAGCTCAAAAGATCTCGAAAAGATTGCGAGCTCGGTAGCAGTCTTAGGTGAACGACAGGTGGAGTTCGTCAAAACAACGGAAATCGCCGCGCTCCGGAAGGCGCTCGAGGAGTTGGCGTCAACACAAAAGTCGGTTGACGCGCGAGCCACGTCTGAAGTGAAGAGCTTGCGGGATGATATCACCTCTCTGAAGACGAATATTCAGGAGACGTACGCCTCGAAGTCGGCGTTGCAAACGCTGGACGTTTCTAGTGAGCTCAAGTCTTTGGAAGCTGCGATCGCGGGCTTATCCAAGGATCGTGACTCATACGCGACGGCGACTCAACTCAAGTTGCTTGACGCCCAAGTCAAGGCTCTTGGAACGCAAAAGGGCAGCAAGGTTGCCGGTTTGTTCAAGCGCGACGCGGATACGGAAGTCGGCGTTGCAAACGCTGGACGTTTCTAGTGAGCTCAAGTCTTTGGAAGCTGCGATCGCGGGCTTATCCAAGGATCGTGACTCATACGCGACGGCGACTCAACTCAAGTTGCTTGACGCCCAAGTCAAGGCTCTTGGAACGCAAAAGGGCAGCAAGGTTGCCGGTTTGTTCAAGCGCGACGCGGATACGGCTACGTTGAAGAAGGACTTGAAGGCCATCGAGACGACGCTCGCGTCCTTGACGAAGAGTCAAGGTGCGTTTGCGACATCCGCGCAGTTGAAGGAACTCGTCGACGCCGTCGACGCCTTGCGAAAGTCGTCGAGTGGGTACGCTAGCTCGGATGTCGTTGAGACTTTGAAGGTGAGTGTGACGGAGCTGACGAATAAGACGAAGTCGGGATCGATGAAGGAAGTCGCCGCGCTCCGGAAGGCGCTCGAGGAGTTGGCGTCAACACAAAAGTCGGTTGACGCGCGAGCCACGTCTGAAGTGAAGAGCTTGCGGGATGACATCACCTCTCTGAAGACGAATATTCAGGAGACGTACGCCTCGAAGTCGGCGTTGCAAACGCTGGACGTTTCTAGTGAGCTCAAGTCTTTGGAAGCTGCGATCGCGGGCTTATCCAAGGATCGTGACTCATACGCGACGGCGACTCAACTCAAGTTGCTTGACGCCCAAGTCAAGGCTCTTGGAACGCAAAAGGGCAGCAAGGTTGCCGGTTTGTTCAAGCGCGACGCGGATACGGCTACGTTGAAGAAGGACTTGAAGGCCATCGAGACGACGCTCGTGTCCTTGACGAAGAGTCAAGGTGCGTTTGCGACATCCGCGCAGTTGAAGGAACTCGTCGACGCCGTCGACGCCTTGCGGAAGTCGTCGAGTGGGTACGCTAGCTCGGATGTCGTTGAGACTTTGAAGGTGAGTGTGACGGAGCTGACGAATAAGACGAAGTCGGGATCGATGAAGGAAGTCGCCGCGCTCCGGAAGGCGCTCGAGGAGTTGGCGTCAACACAAAAGTCGGTTGACGCGCGAGCCACGTCTGAAGTGAAGAGCTTGCGGGATGATATCACCTCTCTGAAGACGAATATTCAGGAGACGTACGCCTCGAAGTCGGCGTTGCAAACGCTGGACGTTTCTAGTGAGCTCAAGTCTTTGGAAGCTGCGATCGCGGGCTTATCCAAGGATCGTGACTCATACGCGACGGCGACTCAACTCAAGTTGCTTGACGCCCAAGTCAAGGCTCTTGGAACGCAAAAGGGCAGCAAGGTTGCCGGTTTGTTCAAGCGCGACGCGGATACGGCTACGTTGAAGAAGGACTTGAAGGCCATCGAGACGACGCTCGTGTCCTTGACGAAGAGTCAAGGTGCGTTTGCGACATCCGCGCAGTTGAAGGAACTCGTCGACGCCGTCGACGCCTTGCGAAAGTCGTCGAGTGGGTACGCTAGCTCGGATGTCGTTGAGACTTTGAAGGTGAGTGTGACGGAGCTGACGGATAAGACGAAGTCGGGATCCGGTTCGGCGTCGAAGAACCTTCGTGATTTGGAACAGCAAGTGATGGAGCGCATAGAAGGCTACATCAACGCCATTCCGAAGGACACGTCGATGAAGCTCAAGAAGCACATTGAAAAAGCCGCGACGTTGTGGTTTGCAGATAGGACCGGTCGACAAGATTTTGCGCTATCCACCGGTGGCGGACGCGTCGTCGGACACTCGCAACTTACGCCGTTCGTTGCTCGAGGCGATGGACCGCTGATGTCGGCTGTTTCGTTCCTTCGATCTGGAGTACATCCAAAAAGCGATGAGTGGATGCTCACCCCCTCGATGGAACAGCCGGGCGATTGTCTTGCACTGCATGGATCTTACGGATATGTCGATGTTCGTCTGCGTCAACCCGTCAAGGTGGATGCGGTTACTCTCGAGCACACCAATAGCCTAAACGCGTACGACATGCACAGCGCTCCACGAGACATACAAATATTCGGCTGGTACGCCCATGGCAATAACTGCAAGCATAGCAAACCACCAAAGTCATTAATTGCGATGGGAAATTACACGTATCACACGGCAGGGGACAGTGTGCAGTCGTTTGAGGTCAGCGCGCCTCATACGGTCGATCACGTGCGTCTTATAGTGAAAAACAACCACGGGCACGCGCGATGGACGTGCATATATCGCTTCCGCGTGCATGGCATACCGTCGTCTTAAGGATGCACTTCATTGTTCCGCACAAACGTTGAGCGTTTTATTAAAGCTAGTGTGTAATGGCTATTCGGACGTGGGAAGTGCACTCAAACCAGTGAGGAGCACCCCGATGGTGTCTCGATTTTGCGCGAGCTGCGTGGCAGCGTACGCTTACGGGATGCGTTTCAAGCATCACGAAACGGCGAGCGTAGAAGAAAACACACATAAGTGTATCATATGTAAAGAAGTCTTCTCGCGCCTTAGAACAAGGAAGTCTTCTTCATGATGCGGAAGAATTCTTCCTCGTTGACTTCACCGTCACCGTCACGGTCGGCTTCGTCAATCATCTCTTGGAGTTCTTCGTCGGTCATGTTTTCACCCAACTCCTTCGCGACGCGCTTCAAGTTCTTAAAAGAGATCTTGCCAGTTTCATCGTCATCGAAGAGTCGGAATGCCTTCATGATTTCTTCGCGACTATCGCGTTCGCCCATCTTTGCTGTCATCATCGCAAGGAATTCCTCGAAGTCAATTGTGCCGTTACCATCCTTGTCGATGTCGGCAATCATCTTCTTGATTTCGTCCTTGTTAGGTTCAAACCCAAGCGCGCGCATGGCGACCTTGAGTTCCTTCGCATCGATCGTTCCGCTTCCGTCGGTGTCGAACAAGTCGAACGCCTCGCGAATCTCTTGCTTTTGCTCCTCGGTGAGCCCGTTGGTGCGACCCTTACCCTTGCGCGCTGGACCAGCCTGCGTTTCGTAACAAATCGTCGTCGTCAGTATTTCCGTTACGTTTTCGCGCGCGTTCACCGCCTCTGCCGTCTTCGTCGCCGCGCCCACGGGCACGAGCCGACGACGACGACGTTCGAAACGATCGCCTCCGCCAACGGATCGCGCAATTATGCGAATTCCCCCTCGCACACCCCCGACCGCGCCCCGCGCGCCCCGTGCAGCGCCCCGACCCTGAGAGCAAAATTATCATCGCCCGTGTGCGCCGGCTTTCATCCCGACCCCGCGCGCGCGCGACGTTTCAACGCGCGCGATCGCCCGTCGATGCGCGCGCGCGCGCGGTGTCGATCACCCCGCGCGCGGATCGCCCCTCCACGCGGCACCGCGCGCGCCCACGGACGCGATCGCGCGCGCGCGCGCGTCGCGATCGAGCGCGCGCGGTCGACGCCATCGCGCGCACCATCTTCGTTCGCTTCGCGCGGACGACGCGGTGTGTCGTTGACCCCCGGCGCGCGCGCGGGGTCCGCGGCCGCGGGTCGCCGAGGTTGAGTCCATCACCTGCACTGGGTGGTGACGGTGATTCACATCACCAAGTTTCGGGCGGTGATGCAGAAGGTGATTCGAATTTTACCCACCCGAGCGGGTGGCGCGACGAGAGGTCACGTGATGGGGGGACGACGGCGCGCTGTATGGACGCGCGCCACGCGTGCACGGATGCGATCGCACACGGCGGTGAAATCCGTTGTATACGTACAAACACCCGGGTGTGACACCGTGCGCGCGCGCGTCGCGACGACGTTTGAACGCCCCGTGCGACAGCTCGCGCGGGTCGGTCGCGACGACGCCGTGGTGCGCGGCGACGGCGGGGGACGGCGGCGGGGGGGGCGCCGGAGATGCCGCCCGAGGGGGCGAGGAAGAACCCCAACGCCAAGGGCGACGCGAACCTGACGCAAAAGTCACCGGCGGAGTTTTTTCAGGACAATAAAGGCATCGCTGGGTTCGAAAACGCTGGGAAATCGCTGTACACCACGCTCCGTGAGTTCGTGGAGAACGCGCTGGACGCGGCGGAGGCGATCGGGACTTTGCCGGAGATTGACATCGCGATCGAGGAGGTGAGCGTGTCGCAGTACGAGAATCTCATCGGTCTGCGCGCGCACGTGCGGTTGGACGACGAGCTGTACGCGGACTTCGAAAGCGATAAGGCGAAGGAGAAGAGATTGGCGCAGGAGGCGAAGAAGGCGGCAAAGGCGACGACGTCGGGAAAGGGTGGACGTGGAGGTGGGAAGCGAGAGCAGACGAAATGTTTTTACAAGATAACCGTCAAGGATAACGGCAAAGGCATGCAGCACGAGGACATTCCAAACATGTTGGGGCGCGTTTTGAGCGGCACGAAATATGGCTTGAGACAGACTCGGGGTAAGTTCGGTTTAGGTTCGAAAATGGCGCTCATTTGGTCCAAGCAAACGACGGGTTTGCCGATTCACATTCGAAGCGCCTTGCCGAACCAAGCCTTCATCTCCGAATACTTGCTGGACATTGACATTGAGAAGAATGAACCGAATGTTCACAAGGAGAACAAACTGTCGAACGACGAGAAGTGGCACGGTGCCGAGCTTTCGGTCACCATCGAGGGTAACTGGACGACGTATAGGCAGTATGTGTTGTCTTACATGCGACAGCTCGCCATTGTGACTCCGTACGCGCAGTTTCGTTTCCGTTACACGACCTCATCGGCGACGACGTCGACCGCGAAGGACATCGATATCGTGTTCAGAAGACGAACTGACATCATGCCGGCGCTTCCGACGGCGACGAAGCACCATCCGTCGGCAGCGAAAGAAAATATGCTTCTCATCAAGGATCTCCTCTCTCAGACGCGCGAGAAAAATTTGGTGAATTTTCTTCACAAGGAGTTCACTTCCATCCCCAAGGATCTGTCCGTGCGCCTGATTGAAGAGTTGGGGTACGGTTTCGACGCAGACATGCACCCAACGGAGGTTTCAGATAAGCAAGCGACCAGAATGCAACAGCTCCTTGCACAGGCACGATTCGACGACCCGGACGGAGCGTGCTTGTCTCCGGCAGGCGAGTACAACTTGCGATTGGGCATCATGAAGGAACTCGGACCGGAATGGATCGCATCGTTTTGCGCTCCATCTCTCGCGTGTGGAGGTCATCCGCTCGTCGTCGAAGCCTGCGTATCGCTCGGTGGTCGAGACGTCAAGCCTGGATTCAACGTGTTTCGATTCGCGAACAGAATCCCGCTGCTCTTCGAGGGCGGAAATGACGTGGTGACGCGATGCGTACAGCGCCTCAACTGGGGAACATACAAAATAGATAAAAATAACGACAAAATTGGGGTCTTTGTGTCCATCGTTTCGACGAAGATCCCATTCAAGGGAACGTCGAAGGAGTACATAGGAGACGAAAACATAGAAATCGCCGAAGCTGTGGACAAGGCCATCAAGCAGTGCGCCGCGCAGCTTCGCGGGAAGATCGTGCGCGCTCAGGTACAGCGAGATCGAAACGCTCGTAAGAAGCAGCTCACGAAGTACATTCCCGACGTCGCTCGCGCGCTGTTCGCGATGCTGGCTGCCTCAGCGGATGCCGACCAGCCTCCGTCAAAGCGCGCGCGAATCTCGGGCGCGCTCTGGCCCGTCGACGAGAAATGGGAGGCTGATGTCATCGATCAAGCGAGAGATGGTAAGGTTACGGAAGAAGTCATCAAAGCGAAGCTCGAAGAACACGTACAGCGCAGCGACCACGAGCAAGCTCTGGAGTTTGCGATGCAACAGAGCAAAGAGGGTCTGAACGAGCTCATGTACTTGGCACCCAAGACGCCCGAGCTCGAGTACGTTCCCGAGATACGAAGCGAAACGTGCGCGTTCCGCTTCTTAAAGTCGGCCGAGATGCGATGACGAATTGAAACAAGTGTAATTGAACATTCATCGATGTTGTGAAATGACTAAAGATTTCCATCCTTGATCTGAAACAACGCGTTCTATCACCACCCGCCCGGAGAAAACTTCGTGGGGTTGTAAAACTTCTCGTACCCCCACTCGGTTGGCACGGCGAACGGCTCGCCGATCGAGACGCCCTCTTTCGTGACCTTCGCTATTTGAAACTTGTTCATCATCTGCTTGTCTCGCATGACGCACGCGTACAGGGCCGATTTCATGATCTCCACCGCCTCCTCCTCCGTGAGATCGGGCTTGTAAAACTCTCTGAAAATTGGTCGCGCAATGTGATTCCCAAAACCCGCGGCGACGTGATCGTCTGCGTAGTGCGTCCCGATCATCCCGACGGTGCCGCAAAACGCCTCCCCCTTCGCGTCGTACCCGGCGACGACGAACGAGTTCCACAGCGGATCGAACTTGCTCCGTCTATTGTACATAACCCGCGTCAAGTACTGATAGATCTCCTCCGCGTCTCGCGTCGTGCCGTCGTCCTCGCAAAAGTCCTCCGTGGTCAACTCCTCCAGCAGATCGCACACGTACGCGAAATCGCTCAACTCACCCGTGAACGCGATCGCGCACTTATCGTTCACCCGTTTCACCCGTTCCACGCTCTTATACCGTTTCGTGCTCCCGTAGCACGCCAGGGTATCCGTGGCGAGCAACACCCCCCCGGCGTACTTCAACCCGAGCGCGCTCGTGCCCGTGACGTACGGCGTCTGCGTCCGCGTCGCCGGCGCCTTCTCCCGCGCCTTCCCATCGATCGTGAACGGGCGTCCACGGACACCGCGCAAGACTTCGTCCGTGACCGTCCCGCGCGCGGTGCGTCCGCGGTACAGCGCGTCGTGCTCCGGATCGACCCCGTGCGGGACCACCCCGGGGCCGATGACGCGCTCGTGCGCCGTGCGCCGCGGAATCATCCCGCGCCCGTCCCGTTCGGCGCGCGCGTCGGTCGCGTCCCTCGGTCGTCGACGTCAACGCCCGGGCGCGGCGACGCGCGGCGACGTGTGCGGCGATGCGATCGCGATCGTTCGCATCCACGGCCCACCGCGCGCACCGCATCGACGACGCGACGCCGCGACGCGCCCGCTTCGTCCCGCGCGCGCGCGCGAGCGCTCGGCCGACGCGCGCGCGCGATCTCGGCGCGCGATCGCCCCGCGATCGGCGTCGCGCGCGCCATGGACGACGCGCGACGCTCGACGCGCGGTCGACCCGACGTCGAGCTCGCCGACGTCACCGCGCGCGACGACGCGTCGACGAGCGACGACGGCGCGGCGGCGTCGTCCCCGAACGCGGTCCCGATCGCCGGGATCAACGACGACGGGTACTTCGGCGACGCCGGTGGGACGTGGCTCCCGGACGCGATCGTCCCGCTCGTGCTCGAGCGGCGACGCGCGGAGCTCGCGGCGGAGCTCGATTGGCGACGTGATCTGCGAGAGTTCGGCGCGCGGTACGGGTGGTACATCGCGGCGTCGGTGTTCTGCGTGACGATGCTCTTGATCGGGGCGGAGTGGTTCGGGAGGTGGGAGAGCGGGGCGCGGAAGCCGCGGACGTAGCGCGACGGCGGCGGCGGCGGACGGGCGCGACGCGAAACGCCGCGCGCTCGGGAGGCGCGCGCGTGCACGCGCGGGATCGCGATAAAGGGTAATATGTCTCATTTTCGCGCGACCGATCGCGATCGGTCGAGCGTTGTAATTAGGTAGCGCGTTGTTCGAGTCGCCGCGACGGACGCGGGCGCGCGACGCGACGGGTCGGCGCGTCACTCGTCGACGGTCGACATGCTCGCGCGCGCCTCTCGCGGATTCACGCGCGCGCACCTCTGCGGTGCCGCGCGATCGGCGCTCTCGAGCGTCGCGCGCGCGCGTGACGTCGACGCGCGCGCGCCGCCGGTTCGACGCGAGCGGTGTTTCACGAAAACGCGTCGTCGCGTCGCGCGCAAGCGCTCGATCGTCACGAACGCGAGCTCGGATGGAACCCCGATTGTTCTTCTCGGAAGTGGTGTTCTGGAAAACGGCGTCGCGCGTCACGTCGATGCGAAGACGTTGGTGTTGGGCATCGAGACGTCGTGCGACGACACAGCCGCCGCCGTCGTGCGAGGCGACGGCGTCGTCCTGGGTGAGGCGATCGCGTCACAGGCGGCGATACACGGGCCGTGGGGTGGGGTGGTGCCGAATTTAGCGCGCGCGGCGCACGAGGAGGCGATCGACGACGTGGTGTCGCGGGCGCTCGCGGAGGCTGGGGTGGAGGCGAGCGCGCTGAGCGCCGTGGCGGTGACGTGCGGACCGGGTTTGTCGATGTGCCTGCGAGTCGGGGTGCGAAAGGCGCAAAAAATGAGCGCGGAGTATGGGATACCGATAGCGCCCGTGCATCACGTCGAGGCGCACGCGTTGGTTTCGAGGCTGTGCGCGGGGACGGAGACGGTGAAATTTCCATTTTTGGCACTCCTCGTGAGCGGCGGGCACAATTTATTGATCAAGGCTCGGGGCGTTGGGGATTACACAATTTTAGGAACGACTTTAGACGACGCCCTGGGCGAAGCGTACGATAAAACAGCGCGTCTGTTGGGGCTTCCCGTGGGCGGAGGCGGGGGCCCAGCGCTGGAGAAGCTCGCGCTGGAGGGAGACGAGAAGCGCTTCAAATTTCCCGTGCCGCTTCGTCAGAAGAAGAACTGCGACTTTTCGTACGCTGGGTTGAAAACAGCGGCTCGGATGGCGATCGAGACCGAGATCGGCGGAGAGGACGTCGAGTGGGATGGGGTGGACAAACGGCAGACGCGCGCAGACATCGCCGCAAGTTTCCAGGCCAAAGCCGTGCGACATCTCGAAGATCGCATGCGTCGTGCCCTGGAGTGGGCGCTCGAGGACACCCCGGAGTTGACATCTGTCGTCGTCGCAGGCGGCGTCGCAGCGAATGCCACCGTTCGATCGACCCTGGTCAAGGTTGTTGACGAAGCTGGACTTCCGCTCATTTTCCCGCCGCCTCGATGGTGTACCGATAATGGTGTCATGGTCGCCTGGACCGGGTGCGAGCGCCTCGCTCTCGGTCTCGCCGAGGCCCCAGTGGATGCCGCGCTCGAGGCGAAGCACGCGACGATGGATCCGCGAGACGTGCACGTAAATCTACTTCCCCGTTGGCCACTCGGCGAGAAGGATCCGCGAGCGACCGGCTCGACGAAGAGTGCAAAGACCGCGCGCATCGCCGACCCACTCACCGGTGCCAACTCTAACGTCGAAGGTCTCAAAGTCTCAGGCATTGTGGGCCAGCGGTGATTCGCCATCGCACGACGTCGATTGATCGACTTGTAAGACGTGTACAACAAAGCGCCGCTAAAGCGACTCCACTCAACACCGCGCGTGCGCCTCACGCGCGAGCATCGTCGCCAACGACGAGCACTACCGGAAGAACCATCGCCGCGAGTGCGTTCCTCGCACGCGCGCGCGGCCGCGTTGCCGCGCTCTTGAAGTTGAAAGCGCGCGCCAACCTCGCGCCGCCAAGAATTCGCTCCATGACCACCTCGGCCACGTTCACGACGCCTCCGAGCGTTCACATCGACCGAGACGCGTTTACAACCGTGATTAAGGTCCGAGCCATCAGAGTGCCGACCAGAGAGACGGACGCGGTGCTCCGAGCGCTCAGGGGATTCGTTTTGGACGTACCAAAGGTGAAAGCCGTCGCGAACGCGAACGCCGGTGAAAATTTAGTCCTCCTGAGCGCCGATAATGTACAAAACTTGGGAGATTTGGAAGAAAAAGTGCCAAGAGCGAGGCTGGATGACGTGCGGGAGCGCGTGGGGGGGACGATCGAGACGACGGAGTACGACGTTCCGCTGACGTATGAGTATTTCAACGCAGCGCAAGTGTTGCGAAAGCTCTTGCCGGACGCAATCGAGGTCCCGAGCTCTTTCGAGACGGTGGGACACGTGGCGCATATGAATTTACGCGATGAACACGAGGCGCACAAGTATCTCATCGGTGCGGTAATCTTGGAGAAGAACGAGCGGTTGAAGACTGTGGTGAACAAAATTGGAAGCATTGAGAGCGAGTTTCGCGTCCCAGAGTGGGAGCTGTTAGCGGGCGAGCCGAGTCTCGTGACTGAGGTGAAGCAACACGGCGCGACGTTTAAGCTCGATTTCGGGAGTGTCTATTGGAATTCACGATTGGAGACTGAGCATAAACGGTTGGTGGACTCGTTCAAGGCGAATGAGGTGATTTGCGACGCGACGAGCGGTGTGGGGCCGTTTTCGATACCGGCATCGCAAAAGGGCATTCGATGCTATGCGAGCGATTTGAATCCGGATTGCGCGAAGTATCTCAAGATGAACGCGGTGGATAACCGCGTGAAGCACTTGGTGAAGTGTTACAACATGGATGCTCGCGCGTTCATCAAGTCGCTCTTGGCAGCTCCGAGCGACTACGACGCGAATGATGAGCAGCAATGGATGAAGTCAAAGGCCGAATACGACGCGAAAGTCGCCGAGTTCAACGCGAAGAAGAAAGCCGCAAAGGAGAAGAAGGAGCAATTTCGTGAGACTAAGCCGGCGAAACTAGAGTGGGCGGCGGAGGACGAAGACGGAACTCCGCCGGCTGGGGCGACGTTCGATCACATCGTCACGAACCTCCCTGCATCTGGGATAGAATTTCTGGATTGCTTGAAAGGATCGTTCGATCGACGAGTGTGGGAGGGTCGGGATCTCCCTATGGTTCACTGTTATACCTTCAAGGGTGCGGACGAGACTGATGAGGATGTCATCAAAAGAGGTGGGAAACATCTTGGAGCTGAAATCGTCAACGGCGAGGTGAGAGAAGTCCGTGACGTCTCTCCGAACAAGCTGATGGTTTTGCTCTCTTTCCGAATGACGCCGGAAGTAGCGTACGACGCGAAGAGGCAGTGCCGAGAGTAGTGGTGGTAACGCGTGTAGTTGAATAGCTATTAAATATTTCTAAGAAGCTAAGAAGCGAAAGCCGCTGAGCGCAGCGCCGCAATCATCTTCTGAGGATCGATCTCGATGGACGCTACGTGCCCATCAGGTCGCACTAATACTAATGATTGTTGACCCACGCTCTGGGTCTTCGAGTACCAAACACCGTGCGCATCGAACGCTTCGGACGGCAACTCTGTGGGCGTGTCGACGACGTGCACGACTTGGGCGAGAAAATTGCACGCGGAAGAAACGAGTCCATCTAGATCGTCTGCACTGCCGCCAAATCCACGCGCGAAGACGGTGAAACGCGGTTCAGTCATATTCTCATCGACAAGGTCCAGAGTTGACATAACACCGCGAGTGGTCTGCATCCAAGCGTGCGGCACTCGAACGCCGACTCGAAGCGTTCCGGGAGTGTACAAGCGAGCCAGCCCCTTCTCGTCAGCGGGCTCGTAAGAGAACCCGACGTCTTCTTTAGGAAACTGAAGCCTCAGAGTTCCACCCGGATCTTCACACATCCGCCGAACGGCCGCACGACGTGCAGATCCGATTGGATTATCCGCAGTGAGAAGTGTTCCGCACTGCGCTCGTCCAAACGCGAGTCCAGCATCGAGAATACTCTTGCGTATCGATCCCGGAATGACGGACGGTAAGCTCGACACAGCGTCTCTCAGCGCGTCGGCGGCGAACGAAGGCAAACCTAGGGCGTTGGGGATCTTCAATACGCCCTTGAAATTCTCGACGCTCAGCACCGTGTTCCTCATCGCCACCGGTTTGCGTTCCGCTTCGTACGTCTTGAGCAGTTTCGGCGAAGAAAGGCCTCGAGTTACCGCAGCGAGTTTCCACGCCAAATTATGCGCGTCCTGGATGCCGGTGTTCATACCAAAGCCCCCTGAGGGAGGAAATCTGTGCGCGGCGTCGCCCGCGAGAAAAATCCTATCACCCGATCCAAAGGTCTCGCTCACCTCTGCGGACATAGTCCACGGTCGAACGTCAAGAATCTCCAAATTTTTCCCATCGTCGCTCTTCCATCCTATCGCCGAGCGCACCAATCGCTCGCACACCGTCGATGTAAAATCTCGCGCGTCTTGAACCGGAGGTAGAAACGGGATCTGCGCCACGAACTCCCCCTCGTGCAAATCGTGCGCCACGATGACGGCGATGACGTCCGGACTGAAAACAAAGTACAGCATCGCAGGATTCTCGCGTACATCCTCCGCCAGCGCCTTGGACTTGAAGTGTACGTTAATAAGATGTTGAAGCGCGCGATCGCCGCGCATAGCGAGCCCGAGTCGCTCGCGCGTCTCGCTGTTCGCCCCATCCGCGACGACGCAGTACTCTGCCTCGACGTCCAATCCCTCTCCGCTCGCGATGTCCACCGCACGCACCGAAACTCCCCGTTCGTCCTCCACCACCGCATTTGCCCTGACGCCCTCGATCACCCCCGACCCATCTCTGCCCTCCGAGACGTTCGCCAACTCGAACAACGCCGCCGTTAACTTGTGCTGCGAAAAGTGCGTCGCCGCCGTCGGCGACGTCGAGCTCCTCGCGCTCTTCGCCCCGTCGAACTGATCGACCACCCCGAGCTCGATCCCACGCACGATGTTCGTCACGTATCGAAAGTGTCGCCATTCATCCAGCGGCGGCGACCGCGTCGCGATCGCGTCCGCCATAGTCCCGCTCAGCCCGCGAAACACCTCCATCGTGCGCGTGTTCACGTAATGCGCCCTCGGGTGTTTCGTACGCGCCGAACCGCGCTCGAGGGCGACCGCGTTGACGTTAAACTTCTTCAGCAGCGCGACGAGCGCTAGGCCCGTCGGTCCGGCGCCGAGAACGACGACGGGAACGCGAATCGTCTTCGTTTGTGATTTCGCGTCATCTTTCGCCTCTTCTCTCGCGTTGCGTCCGCCGTTCGCGCCGATGCTCGAGCGCAGCGTCCGGGCGAACCCCTCGAATCGTCCAGTCGCGCTCGTCGACGCGTGCGAACGCCCGAGCGCGCGGGAGATCATGCACCGAAGCGTCACACACTGACGCGTCGTCATGTCACGCGCGCTCGCCGTGCGGGCGTTCCGTAAGGTCACCGACTACGATGACGTCATGCGCGTCATGCGCGCGACGCACGAGGACGTTCGACGCGCCGCGAGCGGGTTCGTGCGAGGAGAAACGAGGGATGATGCTGCGTGTAGCGCCCCGCCCGCGCGCGACGCGTTGTTGTTGTGTCAACACGCGCCCGTGATCACGATCGGTCGACGGAAGGTCTTGGGGGCGTCGCACGTTCGTTCATCCGTGGAAGAATTACGTCGAGCCGGGATCGCTCTGCGGGAGACCGATCGGGGTGGCGACGCGACGTATCACGGACCGGGACAGCTCGTGGCGTACCCGGTGGTGTCGCTTCGAGGCGCGGGACTCGGGGCGCGGGCGTACGTGGAGGGATTGGAGCGATTCGCGAGCGAAGCTTTGAGGGGATTGGGGATTGACGCGAGAGGGGGGTATAAGGGGCGAGAGGGCGTGTGGGTGGGCGACGCGAAGATCGCGGCGGTTGGAGTGAAAATTTCGTCGGGCGTGAGCTCGCACGGCGTCGCGTTCAACGTCAATCCGGATCTGCGTCATTTCGAACACATTATTCCGTGTGGGTTGGAGGGATACGAGGTTACGAGCGTGACCAATGAGCTCGGACGAACGGTAGACATGGTGGAGGTGGAGACGAGAATCGTGGACGCGTTTGCGAGGACGTTTGGGTATCGACACGTTACGACTTCAATCGAGGATGCGAATTAGGAGCTCATTGTAAAATCAGTTAGATCTGTTGCGCGCGCTAGCGATGAAACTATCGGCGAACTCGCAAACGCGACGCGCCAAGACGGGATCGTTCGCTTGTCTATTCAATTGACGAGGATTACAGTTCGCGTAATAGACCAAGCCGAAATGATTGTAGCTTCGCGCTGTGGGATGCAAGGCACAATAAACGGTCGTGCTCGCGCCCGCCTCCAGGGACTTGACGAACGGTGCGCCGATGCAGTGTAAAAGCGCGCCTCGCCATCCGCTGGAACTCCTCGCGTCCTCGGCGCCTTGCGTCTTAACCGAACCAGGATGGACGGCGAAAATTTGGAGTTCTCGTTTATCAGAGCGAAAGGCCTGACTTTGGTGGCTTGTCCAGAGCATGAGCGCGAGCTTCGATTGCCCATAGCTCTTTACAGCGTCGTACCCGTTCGCATCGTCGATAGCGTTGAATCGAACACCACAGGGATAAGAGAAGCGATACACTTCGCTTGAAACGTTAATGATTCGAGCGCCAGGCGCCATGTGCGGGAGCAATTTCTTTGTCAAAGCGTAGTGTCCAATGAAGTTCACATGCCACGCTTCATCTCGACCCGCGAACGGACACGGCATCAGGCCGGCGTTATTCACCAGGATATCGATTTCCTTATCCAATTTGAAAATTCCTTCAGCAAAACGCTCAACAGACTCCAGATTTCCCAAATCGAGCGGGAAGACTTGAATGACGGCTCCTGTTTCCCTCATGAGCTGATTTGCCATGATATTCGCGTCATGTTCATTGCGCGTGCCAACAATGATGAGTGCCCCGGTGTGCGCAAAGGCGCGCAGCGTCTCGAGGCCGATTCCAGACGTCGCCCCTGTCAGAAGTATACATTTCTTGCGCATGAGTTCCATGGGTAAGCCCAGTAGCACATCTCGCCAACTCGACTGCGCACCGAATCCGGAAGGCCCTTTCCATCCTCTCAAATGACCGATAGGCCACCAGCAACAGGGTTCACGATACATGAGGCGCGTTATGAAGACACTCAAACACTGATGGGACATCGAAGCGTCTCGAAATTATCAGTGTGTCATCTCCCCCTCAATCGGAGTCGTTCCTGTGTCTCTTCCCATCGTCGCTCGATTCCATCCATATGCGCCATACCCACGACTGCGACGACTCGTTCGGCGCGAATCCGCATCAGAGCGTCGAACATGATGTCGTCTCTCTCTTCGATGAACACTTTAGACACGCGCGGGAACTGATACTCCAGAAACTCCCGCATCTGTCGAACATTTGCTCGTGTCTTCAAACTCTCGACTACGTTTTCGATGTCATCCATCCCGCCTTCTATTCCGGGAGGCGGCGATGGCCCTCCCGGTCGCACGCGCCCACTCACGATTGCCATGACGTCGTCAAATGACAAATTCTCTCGTAGCCGCCGTAGAGTTTCCCTCACGTCTCTGTCCGCACACACTACCTGCGCACCTAATGCCTCCGCCTCTTTCACCGCCTCCTTAAACTCCTTCCCCGGTTCGAGTCCACTCAAGCGGAAAAATCCGTAAAATGTCTTCATCGCCGCGCCGAGCAAGCCGTCGGCGACATTCCCCGGACCGCGCGCACCGGTAAAAGCCCCGAAAAAGTCTCTCACCGCCCTGCGAACGAACTCCGACGTCCCTCCCTCACCCTTTTTCTCGCCCCGGCGCTCTTTCGCGATCGTCTCTCGCATCGTCGCCAAACGCTCGTCACACAGCTCCACCGCGACGACAGTAGGCCGCACGCGCCGAACGAGCTCCGCCACCTCTTGCGCGCTCTTCTCGCTCACGTGCGCCGTGCCGACGAGATAAATCTCTCGTTCGCACGTCGATGATCGCAACACACTCACGGTGTCGGCGTAGCGCGTCACGTGCTGACCGGACGTCGACGAGAGAGGTCGAGTTTTGTGAAACAGTTGGAACACCTCGACGCTTTGAACGCACACCGACATCTCGCTCGATCGTTTTGAGCGACGTAAGTTGGAGCGAAAGATGCGGGCGAGAGCACGCTGACGCATCGTGCGATCTGAGCGCGCGCGACGGCGTCGAGGTGCGTCGGGAAGTCGCGAAGGGTTGCGCGCGGGCTATAAAGTGGGATGTTTGGACATCCAAGCGTCCGACGCGCGCGCGTGCACAGAATATCCGACTATGATCACTGACAAGTGAGAAAAAAATGAAAAATTCGCGTTGTACAAATAAATATTTTGCGCCACGCCTAGACGTTGGCGCGAACGAACACCGGGAGGGCGTCGAGCGGCGCGTCGACAAGGATGCGTCGAGCGCCGCTGATGACGACGCTTGGATCGTCGTATCTTCGCCACGTTCCACTTGGAAAATACACCGTTCTCGACGTCGCACCCTTTTGAATAACGGGCGCGACGATGATGTCTTCTCCAACGACGAATTGATCGTCGATGACGAACGTTTCAGGATCCTTTGGATCGAGCCACCACATCGGGCGACAGATGGGCTCGAGCGACTCCTTCGCCTCGTGCGCGAGCTTGGCGAGCTTGGGCAAGAGAAGTTTCTCGCGCACGCGCATCACCTTGATACTCGCCTCGTAAGCCTCCTTGCTGATATCCCATGGAGGAATCGACCACTGCACGGCGGGCATCAGCGCGCTCGCTTGAGCCCATCGAATCATGAGCTCTGTGTCCGGCGTCTGGTTCCAATACGCGTTTCCACCGATTATGTCCGGAAGCGTGAACGGATACCCGAGGACGGACGATGTGAGAAGACTTGGAATGAGACTCTGTAGCCCGTTGTCGCTACCCCATACGGAGTCCTTATCACCCATTCTCACCAATCCAGTGTACGAGTTTGTGCTCATTGCGACGCGCACCTCGCTCAGGGGAAACTTTGAGCATACTTTTTCGATGTACGCTTGACTGTACTCTTGCGGATGCCGAATGGGCACGCGTGTACGAGCACCGTAGGGCATAAAACACGGCTCACCAGCGTCGAATTTGAAACCGTCGAGACCGATGTCGTCTTGAAGCTTTTGCAAGCGACGAACGAACCACTCGCACGCGTCGTCGTTCGTAAAATCTATCGCGCGTACGGGTTGCGTGCCCCACCAGCGGAACTGTCCTGGTTCGAGCTTCGCTGATCCGCCACCACCTTCCCAGTGACCTGGGGGCCAATCGAAGCGATCGACGAGGAGCTTGACCAACGAGCCCGTCATTTGTCCAGCGCCTCCGGTGAGCACCTCGACTAGTTCCCCTGGCGGCTGCGAGCCTTCGATTAAATATCCCAGTCTCTTCGCCTCCTCGCACGCGGCCGAACTCTCTTGTAAGAACGGCATCACCCACACTGTGACCAAAAATCCCATCTTGTGCAGCTCTCTCACCATGCCCTTTGGATCGGGAAATTTCGTCACATCAAAGTCGAGGTCTCCGTAGCGAGTCTGCCATCGGTCGTCAATCTCGATGATAGAGCCGTTCGGTAACCCAGACTCGGACTTAGCCTTCAACACATCCCGCGCGAGCGCCATCGTGGACTCTTGCGTTACGTCAGCGTGAGATGTCGCCCACGTGGTCCAAATTGGATTGAACATGAGCGATTTGAGCGGTTCCGAGCTCGGCTTTGGTAACTGCGCGAGGGCGACTCGTGTCGCGCTCTTTGCGTCGCTCTGTGCCGAGACGACGACTCGAAGACGCAATCGATCGCGATTCTTCATGCCTGCGCTCTCGATGCTCTGCCAAGGGTGTAACATGTTAGCGTCTGCAAAGTTTTCACGAGACTGAATTCTGAGCGTCCCGTCGCCATCCTCGCCCGAACCGTCCTCCAGAGGAAGTGACGGTCGAGACGCGTTCTGGATCCCCACCCCAAAATATCTAGGCGCCTGTCCCGGCGGTCTCCGTATCGGCGCGTTCACTCCGACGTGTAATAAATCGGTATTCGGGTCGGCGAAAATCAACGCGCCGTCGCTCGACACCCAGTGCGTCCCAACGACGTTCCCGACCCCGTTGGGTCCGTGATCGAAAGGGTAAAACGGCCCATTCTCGATCTTCCCGCGCTCAAGCGGCCAGAGTTGATTCAGCAAGTGCGAGCCGCCGTACCAGTGCGCCTTTTCACCCCCCCGCGCTCCGCGGAGGCGAACCGCGAGCTCCGCCGCGCCGCTCGGCGCATCCATCGGCGCGCTCACCTCGATCAACACCCCGTCCGCGATCCCTCGACACCACTCGTCGTCGACGACGCTCGCCGCGCGCGTCGCTCGAACCATCGTGCCATCACTCCAGGCCATCGACACCTCGCTTCCGTCCTCCGCCTCGTACGTCGACGTCAGCCGCGCGTCGTCCGCGAGCGTCGTCGCCAGCCCAATCTCCGAATCGACCCCTCTGAGGCGCATCGTCCCATTCGCCCGAATACAAACCTCGCTCACGCCAGAAACCACGCGTCCGACGCGTCCATCGCGCATCACTCGCTCCGCGCGCGTCCGTCGCGCCCCGTCCCGACCCGCCTCCGTCCCGCCTCCCTCCCCGCCTCTCCTCGTCACCCGCTCGTCGCCACGCACGCCCCGCCCCGATCGTCGCCCGCACCACCTCACGCCTCGACCGTCCCTCGCTCGGCGTCAGCGCGCGCGCGACGACCACATCGTCGACGTTTTTCTCTTCATCCTCCGTCGTCCCGGCGGCGGGTCGAATCCTCCTCGCCCGTGGTCCAGCGCGCGCGCGCGCGCGCGGGACGACCGCGCCCCCCCCCCGCGCGCGCGCGATGGACATCTCCCGCGCGCCCGAACGCCGCGTACGGGCGTCGCGCGCGCGAGATGTGCCGTCGACGCGTCGCGCGGCATCGGTCGAGACCGCATCGGTCGACGCGTCGACGCCACCGCGTCGCGCGCGCGGCGGCGATGTCCACCGCGAACGGATGCCTCACCGAGCTCGAGGACGTGTCCGCGCGCGCGCGGGCGCTCGGTGCGTGCTCCGTCGTCGTCGCGACGCTGATCGCGGTGCCGCAGATGATGAAGATTCATCGACGACGCTCGAGCCGAGGGGTGAGCTTCTGGACCCTGGGGCTGACGAACGTGGGGGGGTGCCTGTCGGTGTTGAACATGTACGTCCTGCATTACGATCAGATCCGACTCGCGGGGTCGCCGTTGGATGATTTCGGGCGATGGAGGGACGCGCAGGCGAGCCTGGTGTTTTTGTGGGTGGAGTCGATGAACGCGCTGTCGATGCTGGCGGTGTGGCCGTTGGCGTACGCGCACGTCGAGGAGGTGGAGAGGGCGTTTGTGTTGAACGTTAAGGGCGTGAACGTGGAGTGGTCGATGAAAAAGGCGTGCAGGTATGGATTGCTGGCGCAGTGCGTCGTCGTCGTCGGGTGTTGGGTCCCGGCGTTGGTGGCGCTCGGTAACGCGGGAGAGTGCGCTCCGATGGCGTGGTACGGGAACTTGATCGGTGCCGTCGTCGCTGTATTGATTTGTGTGCGGTTTTTGCCGCAGGTTGTGGAGTCTTCCACCAATAAAGGGTCGCACTCGTTGTCGTACGTCACGTACGGGTGCGACATCTTAGCGGGACTCGTCGCGTTGGCGCAAAAGCTCTTCGTCACGAAAGAGCGCGTCTCGACGTGGCTTCCGCCGTTGATCTTGCACTCCATGGAGGCGTACGTGTTGGTGATCAACTACGTGAACGATCGAAAAAGGCTGGGAGAGGGAATGGAGCGCCGCCGCCGCGACGCGACGCCGGACGCCGAGGCTGGCGTAGAATACGGGAGCGACGAGGAGCGCGTGCAGAGCGAGAGATTACTTCCAAGATCGGTGCGGGCCGGGAGCGTCACGATACAAACACCGGAACGCGACTCGGCGGAGCAGTCGTCTCCCGACGTGAAGACGTCCTGGTCGAGACTAGTCGACGTCTTCCTGTGACGCGAGGATTAGCGCGTTGCACAAGAGAGAATTTGGACATCATTACAGAAGCATTACTCTGAGTCTGTCCTCATTCGTAGCGATACTAGTTCTATAGACGGTTATGTTTCACCAATAGCTCATATTATCTGAGAAAATTCGTGGCTCGGCGTCGCCACTCAATACTTGATGTTCGCCGAAAATTAATTGTCCCCTACGTTAGTGAACGTACATCGCAACAACCACCGTCACGTTGTCGTTCGTTCCCCTCCTCAAGCTTGTTTCGAGTAACTCCTTGGCGGCTTCGTTACACGCGCTCTCGATGGCGGTCAGGTCCGAGGTCGTGCACTCGCCATCGAGCAAGACACCGTGCTCGGTGAGCTTGCCTCGAGCAATGTCTCCCGCCTCTTGGTCGCGAATGACATCCCACATGCCGTCCGTCGCGAGGATGACAAAGTTGACATTCTTATTGAGCTCGTAACGTTGAACATCGGGCTCGGCTGTGACTCCGGTATCCTTTGGGCGCTTGAAATCGATGTCGCCGAGCGAACGCGAGACGGCTAAGGCGGCGCGAACCGGCTTGAATGGATGGTCCGCGATGACGCGCCAGCAGCCGCAGAACTCAATCCTTCCTCCAATCTCCGTCACGCGACGACGTTCGGTGACGGTGGACGGCTTGTGGTCTTCCGTCATAGCGCGGGTGCGGCCGTCGGCGTAGCCGACGACGGCGCGCGAATCCCCGGCGTGCGCGGTGAAGAGGGCGTTGCCCACTTGCAAGATGCTCAACGCGGTGCTCCCGTCGCGTCTCCCCTGCTGCGACGTCGAGTCCAGGATTACCGCATCGCAGTCCATGTACATCTTCTTTAATGATTTTTCCATCTCAGCGTTGTACTGAGCGGTCGCGTCGGGGCAGGATGGCGACGCGTTTCGCGTCAGAATGTCCTGGTTGAGAAACGTGTGCAAGCGCTCGCTCGCAAACTGCGCCGCCCAATCGCCGTTATGTCCGTCGAACACGCCCAAGAAGGAACGACGGATACCATCGCACTCGACCACGCCCTCGGGCTTGAGATCCAGCACGGTGCTGTACCTATCCTCCATGTATTGACGTTGTCCCTGCGCGAGCGCGGCGCCCACGACGACGCGCGCGCCGAGTATTTCCCTAGATTTCTCACCCTCCTCCGTGAGCACGCCCACGTCTACCACGCTCGGACTCGCCCTCGCGCTGTCCTCCAACTCTGGCGTCGTCACGTACGGCTCCTCCCGAGCGTTCCCGTCGACGTCCTCGCCCGCCTTTGACTTTCTCGGCGGCTTCCCGCGCGCGCTCTTCCGACGCCGTTTCTCCCGAACCTCCCACGCCTCCACTCCATCCGCGGCGTCGACCAAAAGAGACCTCTTCTCCGCGCTCACCGACGCCGAGCTCCCATCCGTGGCTGAATCATCGCTCTCGGACGCGCGCGCCGTCGCGCCGCGCGCCGCCGCCGCCGCCGCCGTCGTCCCCCCATCGACCCCTACCCCCCCCATCGTCGTCGTCCCCCCGACCCGTCCGTCCCGTCGCGCCGGCATCACCGCGCGCTCGCTCGCCCTCGACGACGCCCTCGAACTCGAACTCGCCGTCACGCGCGCGCGTTCGGTCGATCGATCGTTGAAATCCCCCCCCGCGCGCCGCCACACCGACGCCGTCGACGCTCGCGCCCGTCCTCGCGCGCCGTCGACGCGCGACACCGTGGAGGACTCGCGAGCGATCGAGCGCGCGCGCGAGCGATCGAGCGCGCGCGGCGTCGCGCGATGGGGCGTCGCGCCGCCGCCGCCGCCGTGTGCCATCCGACACGCGCGCGCACATCGACCGACGCGTGTGTTCTATACGACCCAGTCGTCCGAGATTGCGTCGATCGAGATTTGTATATCACCGCATCTCTGGGCACTTTTAGGGTTTAGAAGGTTTGGACACCGCGTACATCGCCCCGTCGGACGCGCGCGCCGTTCGCCCACGCGTGGACGTCGACGGGGGCGTCGACAGGTGATTCGAAAGGTGCGTACGGGACGCACATCGAAAGGTGTCGACAGGTGACGCGCGACGGGCGTCGATGTGGTGGATCGATCGATCGCGACGCGTGGGTCGTGATTCGTGGGTCGTGACTCGAGAAAGAGTCCCTCGTAGAACGCCGCGATGACGTAACGGCCGTAACGCTCCCGCGCGTGAGAGATGGACGCGTCGACGCGGGCGCGGACGGTGGATGAAGCCGCGCGCGCGGCGGGCGCGGCGGTGCGTGACGGGGCGTATGAATTAGCGCTCGGGTTTTACGACGAGGCGGTGACGATGCTGACGCGCGACGCGGCGAGAGGCGCGGACGCGGACGCGGACGCGGACGCGGACGCGGACGCGCGGGACGACGTCGCGAGACGGCGCGCGGTGATGTGTGCGAACGCGAGCGCGTGTTCGTTCGCGTTAGGGAAGTACGACGATGCGTTGCGCCGAGCCGAGGCGTCGATCGCGAGCGATGGGACGTACGCGAAGGCGCACGCGAGACGGGCGGAGGCGTTTGAGGCGACGCGAGAGTACGCCAGGGCGCGAGAGAGTCTTCGAACGTGTCGAGAACTCCTCGAGTGGGAGGGAAGGGCGGGGGAGCGCATGCTCGCGGAGTTGGATGAGATGGTGATGGATTTGGACAAAGCCGAGGCCGCGGGCGCGCAGGCGGCGCGCGTGGGGTTGCAGATGAAGATGAGCGCGGCGCGGTTGGCGCGACCGAGCTTCGCGAGCGACGACGCGCGCGGCGCGAGAACGGCGAGACGAGTGACGTTCGAACCTACGCTCGATATCGATTGCGATACCGACGAGGACTCGCCTCCGGTGAAGCGAGTGACGACGAAACCGATGCTCGCGGACCTCGGCGCGTTGGCGGTGGAGAAGGTGATGGAGATGCACCGCGCCGGCGCCGCGGACGGCGATGAATCATTCGGGCACAAGCGGTGTAAGATGTGCGGCAACGTGTGTCACGTCAAGATGACGTCGTGCTCATCGTGTTGTTTTCCTCTCGTCGCGCCGGACTCGTACGAACCAGCGACGTTACCGCGCGTGGGCGAAGACGCGGGACTGTACGAGAGCGACGACTCGTCGGACGAGGAAGACGTCGATTTCGGTCGTTCGTCGCTCGGAGACGACGTGATCGATGATGCGAGTGATGAGAACGACCCGTGGTGGGTGAGACATTTCACGCGAGCGGCGTTAGAGCCGCCGAGGTACGCGAAGGGATGCGATCCGGCGTTGCGATGCAGTTACGACGCGTTGAAAGTGCCGCTGGGGACAGATGAGCTCGCCGTGCGCGCGGCGTACAGAGAAGCGGTCTCTGTGTCGCATCCAGACGCCGGGGGGTCGAGCAAAGAGCTTAAGACTATTCACCGAGCGTACGACGCGATTGCTCTGGATTTTTGGAGACACGACGAAGGCGCCTCTCGACTTCGATCATACGCTGAGAATGAAGACATCTTCGTCGTCCTCGACGTTTATCGAAACTGTGAGGCTGAGCACACGTTGAAACGGCTGTTCAGTCGGGCAAAGTACCCCGAACGCGTATTCGTGGGCGTGTGCTGGCAGTACAAGTGCAAGACGCCGCCTCCAGATTCTCTCGGAGCTCGCATCGATCGTCTACACCTCAGCGTGAACATGTTGACGGAGGAGATTACCACCGAAGCCGGTAAAATCAAAGACGGCGCACAGCAGGAAAAGTACCTTAAGCAGATGCGTCGGTACCAGCTCAAGGCTTTGCGAGAACAGGACGAAAAGGAGAAGAGATGTCACTCACGAAAAACGCTCGACGTTCAATTTCGGGAGCACGTGCGAGAGGTTCACGTCCCTTGGGACGCCTCGGAGGGTCCGTGTTACGCCAAGCACCTGGCAATGCGTAAGTGGGGTGGTGAAAAGTACGTTTTACACATCGACGCCATGACGTGCGTGGACGAGGGTTGGGACGAGACGCTCATTGCCGAGCTTGGGCGGTGCGGCTCCGACAAGTCCGTCTTAACCGCAGCGCCGCTCGAGTACTCGCTCAAGCGTCAGGACGTTCTCGAAGAGGAGACACTCACGAAGAAGTACGAGATATTTGTGTACGGTACCGTAAAGGAGCGAGTTCCTGGGGTGAATTCACACGAGGCGATAGATCCCTCAAGAGCACCCGCGATTACGTGCGCTCGTGAATTCGGCGAATCAATGTGTCACATGTACGCTCGGCAACTCGTCGAGGTGCCGATATCACCTGCGCCAACTTTATTCGTGAACAGCTTGTTTTCATTCGCACGCGCCGAAGCGTTCGTTCGAGACGCTCCGCCGGACGCGCACGCACCGTTCTTACATCTTGGTGAGGAACTTGGCGCGACGGCGCGGCTCTGGAGCCGCGGCTGGGAACTATTCGCGCCGACGCGATTACCTCTGCTACACTGCTACTCTCACGTCAAACGAGCGATGTGGATGGAGGACCAACGAAGTGGAACTCTTTTATATGCAGAAAGACGATTTCGAATCGGAAACGAGAGTGAATACGATCAGCGTGAATTTTTGAATTTAACGTCTCGTCGACGCGTTTTGCAACTCGTCTGTGCCCCGGATGAAAACTCTGCTACTTCGAGCGACGAACCGATCGAATTCACAAAGATGTACGGCGTCGGCGAAGAGCGGACGATGGAGGCGTTCTACGAACACGTCGGGATCGATTTCAAGACTCGAGATATTTCGGTCAAGGCGAAGCATGGAGGTTTCGTCGCAGGAAAATTCCAATCAAACTCGAGTTTGCTGCCGTCGATGTGGCGCGGCTCGCAAGGTAATTATTTCGGCGGCGTCGGCCCGAGCGAATTCGCGAGGTGGACATGATGGGCCAACTATTCTACATTTTTTCAACAACAATCAACTCCTAGTTCCTGAAGGTCTCCTCCAGCATGCGAACGCACTCGCGCCAACTCGTCTCCGCCGCTTCGGCATCGTACGCAAATCCAGTTTCAAGATCCTCCGGTCTCACCTTCTCCGGACGCGTGAAGGCATGCATGCATCCTTCGTACTCGTATAACACAACGTCATCCGCGCCTCGTCGCTTCAAATCATCCAAGCACGCATGCACGGAGCTCGGTGAGGAAAACGGATCCTTTGAGCCGTGAAAAATACGAACCTTCGCGTCCCGCGCGACGCTTCCCCCCTCGAGCTCCGGCGCGTCTAAAACGCCGTGGAACGACGCCACCGCGCGCACATCTTCGATTTCATCCGACGCTCCTAACCCGCGAACGAGATCGAGGCACACCTGCCCACCCAAACAAAATCCAATAGCCGCGTACGGCTTAGTTTCGCCCGTCTTTGATCGAAACGCTTTGACGCACTTAATCACCGCCTTCGCACCGAACGCCGCGCGATTCTCAGTCCCGCCCCGAATTCTTCTCTTCGTCTCCACGTCCCACACGCACTTCCGCGTCCCGTACAGATCGGGAACTATGGCGTCGTATCCCAGACTCGCCAACGCGTCCGCGCACGTCGTCGTAAACGTCTCCCACGCGCCGAGCGCGGTGTGCACCACCACCACCACCCCTCGAGATTCCCGCTCGAGCGGACGAGCGACGTAAAACAACGCGGACGTACCGTTCGCGTCGTCCGCGTCGACGGATTCGATCGAGCGCGCGAGCGCGTCGTCGCGAACGTCTCGTCCCCAAGGAAGCGCATCGATCGAAACGCCCGCGTCGTGCAGCTCCACGCGGTCGTCGCGAACGCTCGATCGCGCGCGTGGCATCTCCGTGCGTCTGCGTCTTCGCGCGCGCGCTCGCGAGGCGCCGCTCGGCGCGCGAGAGACGCGCGCGAGGCGCATTCTGTGGACATTTCCTGACGCGTCACACATGTCTCTCGCGTCGCCCGCGCGCGTCGCGCGTCCGCGATGGCGCGCGACGACGGCATCGACGCCGCACGCGTTGACGTCCGCGCGCGATCGCGCGCGCGCGCGACGATGGACGCGCGCGTCGTCGTTCGTTTTCCTCGGCGTCGAGACCGCATCGAGCGAGGTGCCGCCGCCGTACGTCCCGTCGCCGCTGAGCGCCGAGGACGGCGCCGCGCAGTTGTTCGTGTGCGCGTTCATCTTAATCTTAGGTTCGCTCGGGATGGTGACGTCGCTGGAGAACGAGGCGGCGACGCGAGAGGCGGCGTTGGCGGATAAAGTGCGCGCGCAACGGGACGCGATGTCAACGGCGCAGTCGCGCGCGATCGAGGCTTCTTCGGGGGCGGTGAAGGAGATTCTCGATGAACGTGGGGTGGTGAGGATGAACGGGGTGATGAGCGCGAGGGCGAGCGAGGCGATCTTGGCGTACGTGGAAGAGACTCTGCGGGTGAACGACGCGCGAGGAGACGGGAAGAATTTATCGATGGAGGTGTTCGGTAACGTGTACTGTAAGAAGAATAGGTGGGACATAAAGCTTTTGGACGATAAACCGGTTCGCATGGCGCTGGAGGAGTGCGTGAGGTCGATGGGAGATGCGCTTCGCGCGGCGTGCGGAGAGGACGCGAAGCTCGTAGAGCTCGCGGCGTTGGTATCAGATCCTGGGTCAACACGGCAGCCCGTGCACCCGGATACGGCGTACAGGCGCGATCCGTCGGTGTATACGTGCTTTGTTGCCCTTCAGGACGTGGACGCGGACATGGGTCCGACGTTGTTCATTCCGGGCACGAACAACGCACAGGCTCATGCTGAATTTCGAGAAGGTCTCGAGCGCGGAGGTCCCGTGCTCCAGCGACCGAACGAGCTCGGTCTGATCTCTCGTGGTGACGCCACCTTGTTCGATAGCCGAACACTACACTGCGGGACGGAGAATGCGAGCTCGCGACGTCGTGTTTTGTTTTATTTTTCCTTCCAACGAACCGAGAGCGACAACCCGAACGCCGCCGTGAGTACGATTCGGACCGAGCTTCGCGACAAGTATACGCTCGGTGATTTACTAGGGGCGTGACAAAAACGGCTGCTAATGCGTGGCGTGTGATTATTAATATCTACCGATACAGATTGTTTTGACCTTTCCTATGGGTTAATCTTTGCAATGTCGCCCACGGTGAGCCGCATGTCAAAGACGTCTCTACGAATCGACCACTCCGCGCCCGAATTCCTTCTCGTGGGCGCCTCGGGAACGGGCGGTTTCAAGAACGTCAGCGTCATCAGCGCCCGTCTGCCGTGCTCGTTCGCTCCGCCCTGGTGAAACGTTCGAGCGTCGTAGAGCACGGCGTCGCCTTTCCGCAACGTCGCGTCGCACCACTCCCTCCCCGCGAGCGCCTCAAACTGCGCGTCACCCCACTTCGCGTTCGGAAACGCATCGTGCGACGCCCTGTCTTGCGTCCCGAGTACGAAGCACGTCGGCCCCATCTCGGGGACGACGTCTTGCAGCGCGATGAATAAAGAATATAGCGGCGCGTGTGGCGCGTCGATGGACACATCCGGGTGCAAAACCTGCCTATCCGCGCCTCGCTCAGTGGTCAGGACACTCATCTCCACCATCACCGCCTCCGACGTCGCGTCTTCGATCTCGTTCAAGATCGCGTTCACCCCACCTTGACCGCACGCCTCGACCACGATTGCTCTCGCGGCGCCGTCGAACCCGACTTTCACATCCGTCCTTCGCAGCGCGTCCCCGAACTCCGCTCGCGTCTCATCGCACACTGCGTGGACCTCTTTCAAGAACGCATCACACGTCGCCTCACTGCACACGCCGCGTAAAAACGTCGCTCCATCTCTTCGCACGTCCTCTGCGCACGCCGCCGCCGCGCCGACGTCCCGCGCGTCCCGCGCCCGCGCCGCCTTGTCAACCCTTCGCCCGCGCCGCTCCAATCCCTCCCGTTGCGCCGCAGACTCGAGCCTGAGTGAATTCGCGATCTGCACGTCCGGCGACGACGGCCCTAGACCGCCGTCGTCGTCCACGGCGTCGTATCTCGGGTCCACCACCGCGCTCACGTCCTCTCGAAGCGTTCTCCACACCCTCGTCTTCACCCGCCGCTCGACCGCGCGCGCGCGCGACGTCGCCGCGCGCGCATATTTTTCTCTCCCCGTGAGCGCGCGCCGAGCTCGCATGAAGACGCGCGCGCGCTCTGGGGCGACGCGATGGCAAAAAGTGCACGACGCCGCGGTGGCGGCGGCGCATTCATCGACGCGCGGCGATCGGCGACGCCTCGCTCCGGGGCGCGCGCGACGGACACGATGGGGAAAAAATCAGCGACGCGTGCGAGCGACGCTGCGGGCGAGCCGTCGCGCGAATCGACGGCGTCGACCTCGGTCGAGGCGTTCACGTCTTGGTGCGCGAGTAAATCGATCGAGTTGAACGGCGTCGCGGTCGGTAAAGACCGCGCGAGCGGTCGCGGGTGCGTGGCGACGCGAGATTTATCGGTCGGTGAAGTCGTCGTGCGCGTACCCGACGAGGTTGTGCTGACGACGGAGACGAGCTCGGTGCGCACCGAGTTGGACGCGTTCGTCGGCGACGACGGCGTGGAGTCGCCGAGGTTGGAGAAGGAGCTGCTCGTGATCGCGGTGATGTGCGAGATGCTGAGAGGGGAGAAGAATTCAGAGTGGGGGGCGTACTTGCGCGTCGTGCGCGAGGGAGCGGAGAATGGTCACTCGATTTTGGCGTGGGACGACGAGCAGGCGGAGGCGCTCGAGGGGACGGACACGTGGTTCGACGCGTATGAGAACGACGATGAAGGGTTGGATCTTCCTACGATGACGGACGAACACTGGGAGCACGTGGTACGATTGTTCTTTGAGCGCAATCCCGAGCTCGCGCGCGGGATGGATGAGGATGAACTTCGGGAGCTGCACTTTGCTGCGACGGCGATGGTGGCTGGGTATTCGTTCACGCTCGGAGACGACGAGATTCAGGGCATGGTGCCGTTCTGGGACATGCTCAATCACGCGCCGCCGTGCGCGGCGTCGGTACGCTTGAACCACGATCCCAAGCGCGGATTACAGATGATCACCGTGCGCGAGGTGAAGAAGGGAGAGGAAGTTTTCAACACGTATGGGCCGCTCAGGAATGCCGAATTGTTGAGACGCTACGGCTTCGTCCTCGCGCGAAACCCGCACGGAGGGACGACAGTCGGACTCGATGAGGTCATCGAGGCGGCCATGATGGCTAATCCCGATCTCTACGAGGAGTTGCCCCTACGGCTGGCGTGGTTAGAGTCGCGAGGATTGGCGGACGAGGAGCTCAGCACGCGTTTCTTCGTGCATCAAACGGGACGACCGAGTCACGAACTCCTTATCACCATGCGCGCGCTCATTCTCAAGCCGGAAGAGATGACGGCGCTCATCGAGACCGATTTCGAAGACGAGGAGCAGCTCATGATATTAGAAGGGAACGATGAGACGCGAGCGGAGCAATCCTACATGGTTGGAGCCGCCTTGCAATTTTTGAGCGTGCACGCGAACGAGCGGTACGCCATATCCATGAAGGCGTCTCGTTTGGCGTATAAAATGTACGCCGACGTTTCTCCGACGTCTGAGACGCACGAAAGTCTCTATAGGGAGTGGGCCGCCGCGCTCGTGCGCATGAACGAGCAGCAAGCGTTGATTAAACTCGGACGCTGGACGTACCATCCGGCTCGCTCGGAGGACGCTTTGCTTCACGCGTGGCCGTTTCCAGAGGACGAGGACGAGGATGATGAGATCATGGTGTGCACACCCGTGGAAGAATAGGTCCAGTTGTTGAATCAACGTATTTTCAAACATAAAATCAAGCCGTCGCGGGCGGCGCTTCTACCGCGAGTTCTTTCGGCACGTTGTGCCCGCCCGGCGCCGTGACATCTTTGAACTGCCCCTCATCGCCCATGTGCCCCTCTCGATCGGCGACCCATATCCGCTCTATGGCTTCGACATTAATCACGCCGTGCACGCGCACTCGATTCCCGTGTCCCTTCGCCGCCCCCCACGTGTCATCCAATACTACCTCGTCCGCGGCGGCCATCGGTTCCTCCGCGTCGTCGTCAACCGTGACGTCATCCACCACCGTGAACTTCGCGGCGTCCACCTGCAATATGTAATAATACCCCCGTTTCCCTCGTAAACTTGCGTTGGCGTGCATCTGTAGCGCGCGTAAATTCGTGAACGCGCTGATGTATCCCAAGAGATGAAAATCTTCGCTCGCGAACGCCCGCGCTCTCGACGCCGAGGCGTTTGCCGTGTCATCTCTACCTTCAGCCTTCAGCCCGCGCGTGAACGGAAGCTGCGCGTTAAACGTCTGCGCCTCACACGCGATGTATAGGTGACACTGTCCGTCCGTGATTCGATCGGCCGAGGCGTAGACGCCTCGAAACAGCACGCGCTTGTACCGTCTGTATATTTCATCGTCCGGTAAACCAACCTGCGAGTGAGCGCGCGCGGTCCGTCAGCGTCGTCATCAGATGGCGAGCGTCGATCAAGACGCACCAAATGTGGGTCGGTGAGGTTTTGCATCCGCCGTGATCGACGACGCGCGTCTTCGTGCGCGCCGAGGCGTTCAGAGAGGTGCGAGTGAACGAATGAAAACGCCTCTCATCCGAGCGTTTTTTTAGCAGGTTTGACTTGACAACTCGTCTTGAAAGTTGACAACAATGTACTACTCGTGACGACGCCTCGGGTCGTCGACGGCGCGCACGCTAGACTTCTATGATCGCGGGAGTTAACCCACCATCTTCAGACATCGGGTCTCCGCGTGCACGGCGGAACACTTTTTCGAGCAAAAACGCATCCCGCACCGCGCGCATCCGTACGGGGCGGCGAAACCGCACACGCTACAAAACTTCCTCGGCGCGCTCGCCTTGGACGGACCCGCGGCGGCAGTGAGATATGTCGGCGTTCCCTTGGGCGCGCGATCGATGAAACTCTGCTCGAGGAGCGCGTTAAACGTCCGAGCCGCCGCAGCGCGCTTGTGCTCAGCCGCGCCTCTCGTCGTTCTCGTCCCCTTCTTCTTCCCCTTCACCATCGTCGCCTCTCCGTCCCGCGCGTTCTCGTTAAAGACAAACTCTTCATCGTCAGAATCAACTCCACCGTCTCCGTCTTGTCCCGGGACGATCGCGACGTCGGATTCAAACGAATCCAGACGCGCCGCCGCCACCTCGGCGCGCGTCGCCGCGTCCACGCGCCGCATCGCCTTACTGATCGAGCGCGCTCTCGAGCTCTTCCGCGCGCCCGATCCCGAGGTCTTCGCCGTCATCGTTCCCGCCGCGGCGGCCGCTTCAGACGTCGTCGCGGTGCCGTACCGCGAAGACGCGAGCTCGGGCGTGACGTCCTGAACAAAGCTCATGGTTTTCGTTCGAGCCTCGTTTCTTTCGTTCGCGACGACGCGCGCGAGGTATCGATCACCCGACGCGCGCGCGCGCGAAGAGCTCGAGTGATGATTCGGTACCCGCGGTGAGTCCAGCGCGAACGCGAGGGCGCGACGCGAAGTGCGGGAATAAAGGCTCGCTCGACGCGTTCGACCGCCGCGTCGAGCCGCCGGCGCACCGCGATCGAGCGAACGGCGCGGATGAATCACGCAGTCGTCGCACGTCGTGAAGTGGAAAATTTTGGATTAAAACATGGCGGTCTACGACTCGAAGCTCTCGAAGCGGTCGATGTCTCGCGCGCGTCTCGCGCGTCTCGCGCGCGTCTCGCGCGTCTCTCGCGCGCCGCTCACTTATCCTTCTTCTTATCCTTCTTGTGCGACTTTTCCTTCTTATGCTTATCCTTCATCGCGAGCGGCGTGGACATCTCCGGCTTACCACTCGGGCCGTGTCTTCGAATCTTCTCCTCCTGCCACATCTTCGCGCACTGCGAGAACACGTCCGTCGGTTTCATCTCCGGATTCGCCGCGCGCATCTTCGCCGTCTCTTCCTTCATGAAGATGTTAAACTCCGTCGGCGCCCTCGCGGGTTTCATCTCTCGTCTTTGCTTCTTCGTCAATCGTTCGCCGTCCACCGATCCCACGCGCGCGCCCGCGCGTCGGACCAATCCACTCATCGGCTTGTCGTTTGAAAATTTCGCCAGCGCGAGCTCCAATTCGAACGCGCTCTTCGCGATCGCCCCGACGAAGGGCAGCATCGCGCTCGCGAGCTCGGTCGCGGTGCCCGGGACGTGGGCGCTCAGATCACCCTCGCTCATCGTTCGCGGTTCGCTCGTCGGCGTGTGCGGGATCGCGCGCGCGATTGCGTTGAATTCGAATTCGACGAACGGTCGTTTCGCCCGTCCCGAGGGGCGTCGGGTCCACGTAGTATGACTACGTTTCACCCAGTGTATCACACGATCTGTACGAAAAAGAGGTCGAGGGATAAAACATCGCCGCGATCGAGGCTGGGGCGACGCGGCTGGGTCGTGACTCGTCGAGGGGGACAGATGATCGGACATTCGGCGCCCACCGACCGACGCGATCGATGAATCGGTCGATGAATCGGTCGATGCATCGGCGAGACCGCATCCATCGACGGCCGCGGTCGAGCGACGCGCGCGCGTCGGTGCGTCGCGGGCGCGACGGGCGCGTCGACGGCGTCATACCGCTCGAATCGATCGTCGATCGCATCGTCACCGCGCTCGTGACGATGGTGGGCGTGTTGTCGGCGCAACGATGGCTCGGGGGGACGGCGGTGCGCGCGAACGATCGCGCGCGCGCGCGGCGCGCGGGCGCGCGGCGAGGGATCGCGCCCGAGGCGAGGATTTACGAGAACATCCTGGAGACGGTGGGGGATACGCCGGTGATTAAAATTAACCGTCTCGCCCCGGAGGGGGTGGAGATGTACGTCAAGGCGGAGTACTTTAACCCGTTGAGCAGCGTGAAGGATCGATTGGCGGTGGCGGTGATCACGGATGCTGAAAGACGCGGATTGCTCAAGCCCGGGGACACCGTCGTGGAGGCGACGAGCGGGAACACGGGCATCGCGGTGGCGATGGCGTGCGCGCAGCGAGGCTATCGCTGCGTCATCTGCATGGCCGAACCGTTCTCCGTCGAGCGGAGAAAGATCATGCGCATGCTCGGGGCGAAGGTGATCGTGACCCCGAAAGCGGGCAAGGGCACCGGCATGGTGGCAAAGGCTGAGGAACTCGCGGCTAAGCACGGGTGGTTCCTGTGCCGACAATTCGAGAACGAAGCGAATCCGGCGTACCACGCCTCGACGACGGGCCCGGAGATCGTTCGAGACTTCGCCGGTAAGAAGCTCGATTACTTTGTCACCGGTTACGGTACCGGGGGTACGTTCCAGGGCGTCTCTCGCGTGCTCAGGGAGTCCCGTCCGGACACGAAGATCGTGTTGCTCGAACCCGAAGCCGCGGCGCTCGTGTCGAGCGGCATCAAGACGGAGCGCAAGGACACTGGTGCTCCCGCCGGATCGCATCCGGCGTTCGCGGCGCACCCGGTGCAGGGCTGGACCCCGGATTTCATCCCGCTCGTTCTCGAAAACGGTTTGAACATGAACCTGTACGACGAACTCGTCAAGATTGAAGGCGGCGACGCCGTCCAGACGGCGCAGGCGCTCGCGAGAAACGAAGGCATCTTTACCGGTATCTCCGGCGGCGCCACGTTCGCCGGCGCGCTCACCGTCGCCAAGAAGGCGCCGAAGGGTTCCGTCATCCTCGCCATGCTCCCGGATACGTCCGAGCGCTACATGAGCACCCCTCTGTACGAGACCATCGACGCCGAGATGAACGACGAAGAGCTTGAGATCGCCAAGAGCACGCCGTCGTTTCAACTCATTCCAGGACAAGACCCGACTCTTCTGGTGCAATAACTCGAGCGCCGATACCTGCACGTTCGTTGCTAAAATAACTGTCGCGTTGGGACCTCCGGTACGGATTACAAATAAATCAAATCGTAAAATCACCTAATAAAAGTTGAACAAAAATCACTCATCCTCCTCTTCTTGAGCCTCCGTCTCCTGAGCCTCTATTTCTCGCGCCTTGGCGGCTTTTCTGCGCATCCGCGCAGTCCAAATCGTGTCTCCCAACCCAGCCTCAGCCCTCGACAGACTCTCCTCTCGCTCCTTTGCCTTCTCCCAGATCAATCGCAGGGTATCCGCGCGTTGCTGCAGCTCGACGCGCCACAACAGGCTCCCGATCACCATCACGCACGCGTCGCTCAGCGCGCTCGCCACCGGAGACTCGAACGACGCCGGCTCCAGCCCCACGTAGACCAACTGCGCCGCCGCCGCGCTCGCGCTCAGGGCGTACACCACTAACCTCGGCCTTCTCAGCGGCGCCGACTTCCTCTCCGCCTCTATAATCGCCTGCGGCACGAATTCGGCGCCGACGACGCGCTCCAACCGCGTGCCGCTCTCCGTGGCGTCCTGCAGCGCCTCCACGCTAAATATTTCCTTGAGCGGGTTGCTCGCCGTGTCGATCAACACCTCCCTCTCCGCTCGCCGCATGAGCTCCTCGAACCGCGATTTCGGTTCGGCGGCGGCCGCTTCCACGTCATCGCTACTCTCGTCGTTCTCCGAAGCGCGCGTTCGCACACGGCGCGAGAAGGCGCGTCGACAGAGATGCGCGTCGACCGAGCGTGACCCTCGACGGGGCGTCGTCGATGCGCGCGCGTGTGCGACGTCGCTCGCGCGCGACGAACGCGACGACGCGGTGCGTGCGTCCGACGTACTCGGATGACCCGCGGCGGCGCGCATTCGAGGAGCGGGCGAGCGGTTGGCGGCGTGTGAGGTGTGCGCGCGAGTCGACAAAGAGGTTTGGCGAGCGAGCGAGCGCGAAGGCGAGGCGCGAGGAAGGAGGGTCCGCGTGGAGCTTCGTTCGCGCGTTCGTTGCTTTTATGTACTAGTGCTATGCGCGGTTAAGATTGTACTCGCAGAATACGGCGAGATGGGGTTGGGACAGTGGCGTTCTCGATGTTCGCCTCCGCGCGCCGAAGGTCGTAGAGCTCGGAGAGCTTGACGCGGAGCTTGGCGCGGAGGGCCTCGAGCTGGGGCGCGATGTCGATGGAGCCAGATGCGGGGCGTTCTGGTGATTTCTCCACCTCGTCGATGTCGTCGGTGGCGGTGGTTGTGGTATTTTTCTCTTCGGTGGCGCCGCCCTCCTCAACGTGCGGCTCCGCGGCTCCGAAGTCAGCCTTTGAAAAGGCTCGCCACGCGGATTCGTTGTTTTCGCCGATGAAATACTTGGCTCGCGGATCAAATCCAGTCGCGTTGCAGTCATGAATGCACTCCTTTGAATCATCGGGGAGCTCCGTATTGACTTTGCAATGACCTGGACCGCAGCACGGAGGTTGAATTGGGTACTGAAAGTTGCCATAACCTCCGTCGCCGGGTTTCATGCCAGCGTACATTTTTTTCACGGTGCCCTCGAATCCGAGCGTCAAAAGATCTTTCACGCGCGCTTTCAGCTTCTCCGCGTGCTCTTTGTTACCGAATTTGAAGTATTCGTACACCTCTCGCACGTCTTTCATCGCGTCTACACGCTCGAGAAACCCCTTAAACTCGGGTGGATAATTTGTGCCGATGTACCCATTATCGACATAGCAGCGATAATCCAGCATCGTGCCCATTGAGGGGTCTGAAGGTGTCCCCTCACCACACTTACCACCATTTTTGCAACAGACAATGTGGTACCCGATCCTGTACACCTCAAACTTTTGACCTCCGGGGATAAACATTGAATTCAACTCGTCGACCATCGATGCCTCGTTGTCGATACCGTGAATACTACCACCTTCGGAGATAAAAACATTTTGCCCGTGTCGGTCCGATTGCGCAGTGAGAACGTCGTATAGAGCAAGTTGTTTCACCTTTTGTGGGTTGATATTGCGCAAGAGCTCGAGATTCTCCTTCGTGAGCTTGTGTGTACCGATGGATTCGAGCGCCACGCCGAGCGCCTTTTCAAAAACAATCACGTCGACGTCTTGTTTCACGCCCGCTGATCGCGTGCCATCCCAGGGCAAGAAAGTCCGCGCTCTGAATGATTGTACGCGCGGAACTACATCGGTCAGCCCTGCCTCGACGGCGATCTTCTCAAGAGCACCCAAAAACGCATGTGTGCAAACTACCGATCCGTCCGTCGCCCTCGGTCGACACTCCTTTTTGCTATCAAAATCCGGGCGCGATTTCAACTTTTGATCGCCATAACACTGCGAAGACTGGGGCCGAGCGAACTTATCCTCGAGATTGTGCACGTACTCTCCTCGCAATCCGCACCACGACTTGACAATTACGGTCTTCACCTCTTCGCCAGCGTCGTCCGCGCGCATCCGTCCCAAGAATACCGCTGCCCCACTCGCTCCTATTTGCGTCTTTACCTCGTGTCCCCTGAATTTTTCTTTTGACGCCAAGCGTTCGAGAACGAGGTTACACTCGTAACACATCCCGCACCGCTTCGACGTCACTTCAAAGAGAGCCCCGGTCTTCGCTCCGCCTCGCGGCGCGCTCACCGTCACTCCCTCCGGCACCTTCCCCAGGGCGCAGCGCTCGCACACATCGCACGTCTCGTACGTCCCGATCGCTACGTCAACCTCCTCGTCGTCCCTGAACGCCGGCTCGTCGTCTCCGTCGTCTGCGCCGTCGTCCTCCGCATCTGGTTCGCCCTCGTCGTCGCCATCCTCCTCCCCCTCGTCATCCGCGTCATCGTCCGCGTCGTCGTCCGTCCCCATCGACGCGTCATCGACATCGCTCTCCACCGATCCACCTCCCGCGCGCACCGTCGCGTTCGCGACGTCGTCGTCGTCGTTCGCGCGCGCGTCGACCGAAAAAAAATCTCCGCGCGCGATCCCTCGCACGCGCGCTACGTCCCCGCTCGCGCTCGCGTCGACGCTCGAGACGTTCGCGAGCGCGACGACCACCGCCGCGCACACCGCGAGCGCGACGACGCGCCATCGCGCCATCGGCGTCGCCCACTGAAGCGACGGTGAAGACGAACCGACGTCACTTCAAGATGGTCTTCAGCGCTCGCGCGCTGGGCGTGCTCGCGCTCTTGGGCGCGTGGACGTCCTGGGGCGTCGGTGGGCCCATGTTTCGCGAGGTTCGCACGACGTCGAGCGTCTTACGATTGAGCTGGCGCGGGCAGAGTTCGATGTGTTTCGCGGCGGTGCCGTTCGTGATTATTTTAGCGTTGGACGCGCGCGCGCGCACGGTCAATCGCGACGTGCTCACGGGGATAGCCGCGGTCGGGACGTCGATGTTCGTCATGTTCGTCGGATGGAATCACGGGATCGACCTCACGGCGTTCTCGCACGTCGCGGTGCTGGCGCAGACGCACCCGATGTTTTTGTGCGTGTGGCAGGCGGCGAGAAAACGGTTCGGGGGAGTCGGTAGAGCGCCGAGTCGGAACGAGTGGATCGGCGTCGTCGCGTCGTTTGGTGGAGTGGCGTTGACGGCGACGGCGAAGGGGAAAAGCGGCGCGGCGCGACCGCCGACGCTCGTGGGTGACGTCGCGGCGCTCTCTTGCGGAATAGCCGGAGCCGCGTACGCGTTATCGATTCAAAAATGGTTTGGGTCGTCGGGGATCGGGATAAAGAATTGCCCGGCGGTGTACGTGCAAACAACAGCGGCGACAGTGATGACTTTATGGAGTCTTCTCGTTCTCGCGTGCGTGCCGGGGCAGGTGTGGGTGAGCTCGGCGCCTCCGTATAACAAAGGCGTCTTCGACTGGCCAAAATCCGACGATTTCTGGCCAGGTGTCGTGGCCATCGGGACACTCGCGATCTTAGGGCACGCGTTTTTAACCGCAGCGATGCTGAAGCTGCCGATTTTGGTTTGCTCGCTGGCGATGACGATGACCCCGATCCTGCAGAGCGCCTTCAGCGTATTATTATTGGACGACGACCCGCCGAGTGTGCAAGGAATCTTGGGCGGCGTCATAGTGATCCTGGGCATCGCCTTCACGCTCTTTTACGGCCATCGTGAATCGAATATAGACCAGGAGGCCGAGAGTGAGCGTGCGGGCGTTTCCTTAGTCGAGATCACGGAGGCGCACGAGGCGCCGCCGCACGAAGGCTTCGCCCTCAGGGCAAAGGCCACCTCATAGATCGGCATGCAGCTCGCTGCCGTCGCTTCGTTCGCCCCGCGCGCAACCACCACCAAGCTCTCGCGCTCTCGCGCCCGTAGCGAGCGCGCCGTCAAGATGTCCACGCGCGCCATCGAGCGCGACGGCGTCGACGACCCCAGGATGTCGCAAATCGTCAAGCACAACGGCATCGCATACTTCTCCGGTCAAGTCGGTGCGTCCTCGGATAATGTTCGAGAGCAAACGATCGAGACACTGGCAAAGTGCGACGCTCTACTCAAGCGAGCGGGGACGGACCGATCGCACCTACTCACGTGCATGGTGTGGCTGAAGGACATCAAGGATGCACCGGAGTTCAACGAGGTCTACAACGCGTGGATCGATAAGGAGAACAAGCCCACGCGCGCGTGCGTGCAGGCGGAGTTGGCACGACCGACCCTCCTCGTGGAGGTTCAGTTCACCGCTGCGATTCCGGAGTAAGCCTGGGGTTTTCAAAACGCGTCACTCCGTTGCGTTGGTCCTAGCTGATTTTATCACATTGTTTAACATTCTTTCATCACCGCGTCGCGTGCTTCGACTCGATCATTAAGGAGCTTTCTGAGCACATCCACAACTTCGTGAAAGTCCGGTCTCGCGTCGGGGTCGGTCTGCCACGCGGGCACCATGACTTTGTCAACGAGCGTTCTCGTCACCACGTCGTCTTCGCCTAGCACATCCAGCGGAAGTCGTTGAGACTGAATGGCTACCGCGAAAATTATCTGCATATGATTTGCGTACTCTTCCCACGGAACGCGACGCGATAGCATCTCCCACAAGAGCACTGAATACGAGTACACATCGCACTTTGTCGTCACCGCCTCGACATCTCCATGAAAACACTCAGGCGCCATGTACGCCGGCGTTCCGCCGATTGCTCCTGATGCGTTCGTTTTCGTACCGAGCGTCTGTCCAATTGTCTGCTCTAGAGCTCGCGCGATGCCAAAATCAGCGACTTTGGCGCCGTGCGAGTTGAGCAGAACATTATGAGATTTGAGGTCTCTGTGCACGATATGCTCTGAGTGTAGATAACTCATCGCCAGTGCAACATCCATGGCGATTCGCGCGATGTCATCGAGATCCGTAAGACGTTTATCTTCGTGTAAGAGCGTGTGCAAACTTCCGCCATCCATCATTTCTTCCACGATGCACAGATGCGGTTGTTTGAGGCATGCTCCAAACATACGAACTATCTTGGGATGCGCAATTTTCGACAGTACCTGCACCTCTCGAACGAACGTCTTTAAATCATTCTGAGGAACGCTCGACATCGCATGCAACTTTTTCACCGCAACAGTTCGCTTGTTCCACTTGCCAGCATAGACCGCACCGTGTGCGCCTCGTCCGAGCAATCTCCCTAGTTTGATGCTGCTCAGTTGAATCTCGACGACGTCTTCGCCCGTCGACGTCTCCTCAATCACATCGCCGGCGTTCTCTACGTATGTCGCAAACGACGCATTGAATAAATCATGTCTGTGCAAAACTCCGGCGTTCATACGTGCGGTGTCGTCGTCTTGTACCACGATGCCTTCTAAATCATCCGATCTCGCCTTGAAGCACTGCCCCGGGAGGAGGAGCGTGTTCTTGCGCTTTGGAGCAAAGACATCTTCCAGGTCGAGGTCTGCGAGCGGCGCTTCTTCTCCGGCGATAAACGACCGCACTCTACGACAAACTTCAATCGTCAAAACCAGGGAAATGATACAGGCCACGACGAGCGCGCTCATGGTACTGCCGTTTCTCAGCCAAGAAGTTGAGCTTTGCGCCGCAGACGACAAAGCTCCGCGCTGAACGACGACTGGAGGCGCGAGTGACTCCAATGGCGGCGCGGGTGGCGGAAACGGCGGAGAGGGTGATGGAGGCATGATTTTGCTCCCGCAGCAAAAACGCCACTCGCGAACAAGGCACGATGCATCGGTGAAACTCACTTGAATGTTTTCGGCGTTTGCTTGCGAGCACAAGACGCCGTTCACTCGAATGCGTGTCGCACCCAAGACGTCTTGCCCGTCCTCCGCGTGACCGACAAACGAAAATTTCTGCTCAGCTTTGTCAACTGTTGCGTCCAGACGATTGACAACGCGCGCGGGTTGTCCGCCCGGGCCACCAGGATTGATCAGCACCGCATCTGTTACACCGTTATACAGACTCTGCCCGTCTGGAAAGCTCCATGTGACCTGCCAACTCGCGAGCGTCTCCGGGCGGACGCTCTTCAAGACGAAACTACCGAGAAACAAACTTTCCTCTACCGTTGTCGCGTTTGCCTCGACTGGAAGGGGCTCTGTGACGTACGTGACGTCCACCGTGCACGAAGCGCACGGGCGAGTCGCGTCATCGCATTCGCGACATACTTGCGCGAGAACTTCCAGCGGGTGGGAGAGAACGACAAGTGCGACGATAAGCGGCGGTAGAAACGATGATAGTCGCATCCCTCGGGAGTTTGCGTCTCCCGCTGAACGCCGTCGAAAGACGCTTCGAGGCACGCAAAGTTTGTCGCCTCGAGGGTGTCGCCTCGATCGCGACATCGATGTCACCCAAACTTCCCATCCTCACCTTCTGATCTACGTCGGGTGTCCCCATCATCGAATGTAACGTTTATTTTCGACTCTCTGCGCACATTTCGCACGCTCGTCGCCCCGAACGCGTTCGCCGAATCCAATCTACCGCGCTCCATCGCCCAAGGCGCGACGCCGTCGCCGCCGCGCATGGACTCCGCAACCATCGATCGCACCCCGCTCGTGCGCGCCATCGGTCCACACTCCCCTCCATCCCTCAAATCGTTAATCTCCCGGGGACGGGACGCCATGAACACCTGTCCCGACGACGGCATTCCTCGTCCGCCCGTCCCGACGCCGCGAACGCTCGGCGGCGGCGCCTTTCGCGCGTACCGATCGCTCTCCCACGTCCCATCCTCGTCCGCGCACAACCGCACGAGCACCCTACCGCTCTCCAAATCCTCTTTAATCTCGTGCACGCGCTGTTTCTTCGCGATTCCGATCCACGCACCCTCTACATTTCTGTACACGCGCTCGCCCGTGGTCAGCGACACGTGGTACCGGTGCCACGGGCACACCAAACACGCCCCTCGCCCCGGCAAGTCCTCGATCTCCGCCCGTAACAACGGCCCGCCCATGTGATAACACGTGGCGTCGATCGCGCGAAGGGAGTCTCCGGAGCGAACGAGCGCGAGGTGTCGACCGTCGACGCAGACGGCCAAGCGCGCGTTCGGTGCGCTGAGCGCATCGACGCTCGCGACGTCGCGCCATTGAGCGCTCGGGAGTGAACTCGACATCGCGCGCGACGGGTGATGCGGTCGAACGCGGGCGAGGTCGACGCGCGCGGGCGTGTGTGGGCTCGGCGGGCGACGCGACGGTTGTTGGAAAAGTCCGCGCTCGCGACGACGATCACACTTCTATGGGCTACGACCGAGACCCGCCCAGGGCCTCGTCCTCGTCTAATAACACGTAATCCCTCGTGCTCGCGCCGAATTTCAAGACGTCTCGCGATTTCAATCGCACGTACGTCTCTCCCTGGATGCGCTTTTTGTTCACAAAGGTTCCGTTGGCGCTCCCGAGATCGAACGCGTACGGCGTCACCCCTCGACCGTCGTCCACGTCACGGAACTGAATCACACAGTGTTGCTTCGAACAGCTCGGATGATCGCTCGGGATGTCCGCCACGGTTCGGTCGCGTCCGATTAAATACCTCGTCTTCGATCCGCGCAGCTTGTACGGCTCGCCGCACTCCTCCGCGCCCTTGAACACGTACAATCTCCAAGTCCCCGTCGGCGCTCGCGCCTCTCCGACCGGTTCGACGTACTTCAACGCCACCCCGCGAACCGCGTTCGACTCCGCGGCGAGCAATCCGCTCAGTTCGAAGCTCGATTCCTCTCTCGCCGCCGCCGCCGCCGCCGCCGCCGCCGTCCCGCGCTCGCGCTCGCGCGCGCGCGCGTTCTCCCCCCCGGACGTCCCCACCACGCCATCATCGCCCATTCCCGACCGCCCGCGCGCGCCGTGCGCGCCGTCATCGCGCGCGCCGTCCCTCGAGCGCGATCGCATTCGTCGCGCCCGCGCGCGCCGTCCATCATCCGCCGCGTCGCCGTCCCGCTCTCGCCCACGCCCGCGCGCGCGCGCGCGCTCGATCGACCCGACTCTCGCCCGCGCGTTCGACGTCGTCGCGCCGTCCTCGCTCGACCGCGCGCGCGCGGTGTCCTCCATGACGCGCGTACGTGAATGCGGCGTGCGCGCACATCGCTGGTGTCACGTCACACGTCGACGCCGCGTCTCGACGCGCGCGCGATCGCGACCGCGCGCGATCGCGACGGCGCCGCGCGAAGGATTCGCGCGCTCGAGCGAGGGACGGCGCTCGCGCGCGCGCGCGCGCGAGCGGGATTGATGGGCACGGGCGTGGCGGCGGTGACGACGACGACGGGAAGAATGACGACGACGACGACGCGCGAGTGGACCGCGCGATCTGGGGCGCGCGGCGGTGATTGGGAATCGTGGCGCGCGAGGATGGGGCGAGGGATGGCGCCGACGCGATCGCGAGGGCGACACGCGGGGGGGACGGGGGCGACGGGGACGTTTGCGGAGGCGGGACTGGCGGACGCGGCGTTGATGGAAGCGCTGCGAGCGATGGAGATCACGGAACCGACGGAGATTCAGTACAAGGCGATTGGAGTGATTGGAAGTGAGGGTGGGAACGCGTTCATCGCGTCGCACACCGGGAGTGGGAAGACGCTCGCGTATTTGCTGCCGGTGATACAACGCATGAAGGCGGCGGAGGCGGAAGCCGGGGAGCGCTTGGCCAAGCCGAAACGGCCGAAGGTGGTGGTGACGTGCCCGACGAGAGAGCTCGCGGAGCAAGTCGCGGAGGTGGCGAAGGCGCTGAGTCACGTCGCGAAGTTCAGCTCGTGCCTCGTCGTGGGTGGGAAACGCTTGTCGACACAAAAGGAACGCCTGGATTCGCCGGTGGACGTCGTCATCGGGACCCCGGGACGGTTGATTAAGCACGTGGAGCAGGGAAATTTATTCTTAGGGAGCGTGGATGCGATGGTACTCGACGAGGCTGACACGCTCTTCGAGGCGGGTTTCGGTGACGAGGTGAAGCGGCTTCTGCGTCCGCTCAAGGCACGGCCAGAGGGTAAAACGTGCGTGCTCGTCTCCGCGACGATGCCCGATCGGCTGCGAAAGCTCGTGGACGAGGAGTTGCCCAACCTGAAGTACATCAAGACGGATTCGTTGCATCGCTCGGCACCCGGATTGAAGCACCGATTCATCGACTGCCCGGGCGACGTGGACAAGATGACGGTGCTCGAGCAAATCGTCGTTCCGGAGCACCGACAGGGTAAGAGACTGATGATTTTTTGCAACACACTCCCGTCGTGCATCGCCGCCGAGCGCACAATGAGCGAGGCAGACATTCGCACCGTGCAGTACCACGGCGATATGACGAGCGACGCACGAGCGGATTCCTTGCGAGACTTCATCGAGTCGGACGCCCAGAATAACCTCACCATGGTCTGCACGGACCTCGCCGCTCGAGGCCTGGACTTCGGCCGAATGAAGGTCGATCACGTCATCAACTTCGATTTTCCGATGAACGCCCTGGACTACATTCACAGATCCGGACGCACGGCGCGCGCTGGCGCCGGTGGTAAGGTCACCAACCTGGTTGCGAAAAAAGACCGCGTCCTCGCCGGCGAGATCGACTCTGCGGTCAAGCTCGGTCTCCCGATCGACAACGCCACGAGCTCCAGGGCTGTCTCGGAGGCTCGTCGCAAGAAGGCAATCACTGACGCTCGAGAACGCCGAACCGGCGGGCGCTCTCGAACCGCTCCGGCAAAAGCGTCTGACCGCGCGCCGTCGTCCAACCGCGGGAGACGCGGCGCAGCGAGGTTCGAACAATCGAGCAAACCGTCGGGGACGAAACCGCGACGGAGCTAAATAAAGCCTCTTAGATCCCGCTCGAGCGCATGTAACAGTGATGAAACGTCCGCGAATACCGCGCGTCCGCGTCCCGATGACTGCGCTCGCGCGCCGACGCGCGTCGCCGGACCACCAGCCTTATCCTCGCTCGCACCGGCACTCCACGTCGCTCGCGTCGCTCGAGCGCGCGCGCGCACGCGTTCGTACACGCGCGCACGGCCGTGCGCGCGCGTTCACGCGGCGCACGACGTCGAGATAGCGACGGCGCGCGCGTGGACAAGCGGTGGACGTTTGATTCGTCTTCAACTTTTTGTTCGGTGCAACGGTCACGGTCGCGATGAAACTGCTCGTCGATCACGATCTGGCGGCTTTAAACGCGTTCCTGGCGAGCGTGAACGTCGGGGATTACGTCGTGAGCGGACAGGTGGAGAATTACAGCTGTGCGTGCGAGATGACGCGAGCGACGGAGGCGACGCGAGGGTGTAAAGCGTTCGGAACGCGGAAGAATGCGCAAAGGGACTGACTCGGGCGAATCGTCGTGCGTGACGCGCAGGTAAGCTAGCGGGGACGGATAAAAAGTTGTCCCGATCGCTAGACGCGGAGGTGGTGACGGCGATGGCGAGCTCGCCGACGACTCTGGGTTCGTCTCCGGTGGGGCCGCTGACGGACTCGCACAGTCGGAAGACGCTCATTTATTTGATCCTCACCCTGAATCACATCTATCCGGATTATGATTTCAGTAGCTTACGAGCGGAACACTTCACCAAGGAGGGGACGCTGAGCTCGGTGAAAGCTGACATCGACATGCTTCTCATGGAGAGTGGGAAGGTTTGGTCGGCGAGGTACGGGGATGAGGAGGACTTCCTCGAGGTACTTTGGAAGACGATCGACGACGCGATCGATGTGTGCGATTGCGACGTGTACTCGTACACGGCGCTATCGGAGGGCGACCCGTTCACGGATGAAGGCAATCTGTGGAGTTTCAATTACTTTTTCTACAACAAGAAGTTGAAACGAATTTTGTACTTCACCATGCACGCGAGATCAAAGACGATGATGGACAACAAAGACGAGGACGACGACGATGACGACGAGGACCTTGATTTGGGCGAGTCTGGTGATGCTGGCACCGGATACACCTCTTACGACCCGGCCGGATCCACTTGGAATTCGTTTGAGGATTCGATGATGTTCGACGAGATGGATATGTAGAGTGCTTGAATGTTGTAATATTACTCCCCAACTCCTCCAGGGTGATGGTAAAGGACAACGCATCGGAAACTCGTTGAAGATGACTGGTATCTCAATTCCATTCCAGTTGTACAACAGTGGCAGTTACTTTTCTGACAAATCAACCGAGATGATCGCCCTTCGCCTCGCGACGCAATCTCCTAACGATGCCCGTGACGTTCTTTCGAATTCCTTTTCGACTCACCACGTAGATAAATCCAGCGAAGATGAGAAACGTGAAGAGGTTTCGAGACTGCGCCGCCGCGTGCGCTGCGGCTTCCTCTGCAAGTTTCAACCTTGCCTCCGCCTCTCGAAGTTTTGCCTGGACACCCTTCTCGGGCTCTTGTCCCGGCTCCAACGGTGTTTTGTCGGCATGGAATTTCGCGAATTTGTTTTCTCGTACAACCTCGGGCTCGTTCGACTCTTCTTCTTTCACTTTCTCTTCAGGTTTCCCGACGGGCTCGCGCGTCTTGGCATCCATGTCACGTTGCTTCGGCGCGACGTCCTCCTTGCTAACCACTTCCTTGACATCGTCAGCCGCCGTTGCGTGCGCCGTGGCAGGCGCAAGATTTATCGCATCGAGCGAGGCCACGCACGATGAGCTCAGCGAGGAGTTCGTTTTGACTTTCCAGAGACACGAGGTGATCAAGCCAGAGCCGTGCTCAACGTTGGCGCAGTTTTGCTTCAACTCCGCATCACACGCCGCAACGACGTCCTTCTCTGCTTGCCAGAACTCGTAAATGCGTCTCTTAGCCGTCTTAATCTCGGCTATGCACTCGCGCGAGAATGTGGCTTCTTTGCCGATGCCGTCGCGTCCGCCAAACTCGACGAAACGCATGAACGCTGTCTTCTCCTCCGCAGACGCGATTTGCTCGACGCAATCGTAATAGCTTCTGGCCGCGACGGGAATCTTCTTGAGCAAGTACTCGTAGGCATCCTTTGCGCTCTGAAAACGTCGCTCCCGGTGCCGCTTCCGATACGTTGTCCTATCGCCTTGGTCGCCCTTCATAAACCAGTGATCCTCGGCGCTTTCTTTATCACTCACACCCATGGCGGCTCCACCCATGTTCAAACCCATGGTACTCGCACCCTGAATCATAGTCTTTTTATCGCGCTCTAGCTTGGCCAGTCGCTCGTTGAGCACCTCGTTGTTCGGCTCCTCAGCAAGCTTCTGCTTCACCGCTTTGATGTCCTCCTCAAGCTGGTTTGGATCGCGCGCTAGTGTACCCTTCGGAAAACTCTTCAATTGCGCGAAAGCGCGCTCTTCAATCAAGCGCTGACGCTCTTCATTCTCCTCCGCATCCTGTCGTTTCTTTTCATCCGCCTCCTTACGCTGCTTCTCGTGCAAATTGGAATCGGATAGCGGCGACTTTCGTCGCTGCGGCGTCTGTCTTCTATACGGACGTCCGTGATCGTACAGAAGATTCCGCCCCCGCGACGGCGTCTCCTCCTCACGTGCATCGTTCACATGCTCAGTCCCTCGTGGCGCGCGCGCCTCCTTCGCTCGACGCTCCAAATTTTCCTCGTACTCGACTCTGCGCTTCGCGACTCTCACCGCCGCGCGCGCTTCTTCCACGATCGAGCACTTCGTCCGCAACACCTCCCCATCGCACGCCGACGTCCGCGGATCGAGATCATTCATCGGATGTCGCATCGCCCGCGCGTACTGTCCTCGCCGCGCCATCGTCTCCAGCGTGAGCTCGGCGCGCGTTCGATGGTGTTGACGATCATCGCTCGCGTGGACATCCGACGGTGTCGACCCTTTACGCGTCTCCGGACGTATCGCACCGACGCACGACGCGCGCGCGAACGCGCACGCGATGACGATGGACGTCACGACGCGCCGCGCCGTCCATCGTCGACGCGCCATCGTCCAGCGCGCGTCGACGTGTCGGGCGTCGTACAAACTCGCGGCACTTCCGGGAACGTCCGTGTCGCATGTCCGCGTCGACCGCGCTGGACGTCCTCCGCGACCGGTGCGCGCGCGGTGGGCTCGACGTGTGCGGGGGGTGCGCGCTCCGGGCGTACGAGGACGCGATCGAGCGCGTGGGAACGCGGGCGAGCATGCGAAGGAGCGGCGATGAATCTGACGATGGAAAAGACGATGCGGCGATGACGATGAGTCACGCGGGCGACGACGCGTTGGTGTGCGTCGTCGGGAACTCAAAGGCGTTGTGGCCGAAGTTTGTCGAGGCGTTGCGACGCGATGGCGGGGCGACGGTGGATGCGTTCGCGAGGCGAGCGATTGAGAGCGCGGCGGTTACGGCGGCGGCGCGCGCCGGCTCGAAACGGTTTCGGGTGTATTGGGCGACAGATCTCGAACCCGGGAAGGTTGTGGCGATTCAACGATTGGCGGCGACAGCGAATGTGGCGTATTTTGACGACGCGACGCATCAGAGTCTTCATCCGACGCACGGACCGTGGTGCGCGTTCAGAGCCGCGGTGGTATTCGATGACGTTCGAACAGAGGGAGAAATCGAGCCGGGCTCGTTGGCGTGTCCGGTGAGCGCAGGGGCACTGAGGAGGGCGAAGGAGGCGTTCGACGTCGCGGTGGAGCGATACGGTAACGCGGCGAACAAGGATGAGATGCATAAGCTGTGGCTTGCGGCTCGCATCGCGATGGAAGACGGCGAAAAGTTCCGCGAGTGCAGGTATTACGATGATCAGATTCTTTGGCACTATGACGTCAACAGGACGTCGGTGCGCGATAGAATCGTCAATGGTGGAGGAGTAGAATAGGCGAGATGTAGTGCTAGATTAATGGCTAGTCAGTTGCTGATCGGTCTAGGATGGAACCAGTAATTGAAGGCAACGTGTCCCGCGCCCATGTCGTCGCTCGAGACGTCGTGGAACCATCCAGCGGGTAAGAACAACGCCTCTCCTGCGTTCACGGTGAATTCCATCGACTTCGCGCCTTTAAACAGAGGAAATCTATCTAAATCGTCGTAGTCCACTCGACTGAAGCTTGGCGGGTCCTCTTTGTCCTCGTCCAAGCCGCTCGCGGCTTCTTCCCGACCGCTCTCGGAATCAGCATCATCCGACTCGTTCATCTCGTCGTAGTCGTCCACGCCGTCGAAATCCGCGAAATCATCGTCATCGTCGTCGTCGAAACTGAACTCCTCTTCCTCATCAGAATCGTCATCGTCGTCGCCGTTCCCTTCGGCGCTGCCGCCGCCTGTGCAAGCCCCCACGTCTCCACCGTGCCCTGTGATCTGCGCCCCCTCGTAATCAATCAATCCGTTCTCATGCACAACACGAATCTTCCCCGACGTGTACATCCGCTCGGTATCGAGCGGCGAGAACACCTTGAACCGCTTTGATCCACGCGCGAGGACGTATAAATTGTCGTGATAATCGTGATGTAAACCGCTCGATGTAGGCCTGTCGTTCCGTCCCATCCACAGATTGATGTCCGCGGGAACCAAAGACCTCGGTATGATACGCGGTCGGAGCGGAAGCAACCCATCGCTTCCGTCGCTCTCCTCCCGCACCAACTTACTCGCCGGCGCTCCAAACATCGAGCGCTTCCCACCCGCTGACAAGTACCATCCCCCATCGCCGCGCTCGAACTTATCCATGAACGCATCGAACGTCATCGCTCGATACTTCCCACGCCCGAACGCCTCTCTCGCCTCGACGTCTCGCGTCTCCACTCGAGTCGTCGCGTCGTCGCCGCCGCACCGCCGCCGCAGAAACCCGTTCGTCCACTGCGCGCACGCTTTCAAATCCGAATCGCCAGCGAAGACGTCCGTGATGATCACAGGTCGACGCTTCGAGACGTATTTCAGGTCTAGAGTATCCGACGTGCACTCAGCGGCGCGCACGCGATCGATCACGGCGCCCGGAGCGACGGTGTAGCCGGCGTAGCGGTTGACTTTGGCCCGCGTTTTTACCATCGACGGCGACGCATCACGCGTTCGCTTGCGCTTAGCGTTGCGCATGACGATTGTGCGTGATCGTGTTGAAGTTTTTGAGGCACACGGGAAGTCGGAGAGGCGGTGAATGCGGAGGGTGTTCGTCGTATGTTGATTGCAAAGCGAACATCGTCATGCGAAGGCGTCGAGCTTGGCGCGTAAATATTCCTCGCGCTCGTCGTCGCCGATGAGCTCCGACCATTCGTGATAGGGAACGACGCAGACTTTCCAGCCCCAGGAACGGAGGAGTTCGTTGCGGACGATCGTTTGCCCGAGCTCGCGTCGGACACCGTCCGCATCGACGCTGTAGTGATGCGGACCATCGACTTCAATGACGAGCCGGCGGCTCTCGAAGACGATGTCTGGGCGCATCTTGCCGCCCTCGACGGCGCGTTCGACATCGAAATCGCCCACACCCATGTCGTGGAGATGATCTGCGACGGCACGCTGGAGGTTACTCGTCGTCGGATCCTGGGTCTTGACGTCGAGCCAGGCACGCTCGGAGTCGTCAACAACGGCGCTCGTGGCGCTCAAGATGACGTCCTCGAACGAGCGCCCGACGGCGATAAGACGAGCCATGTAGAGCCCGTTCAAAGTTTTATCAGGGAGTCCGTTGGAATCCGTGAGCACGCCGTCGTTCAGGTCCACGATGGCGCGCATGAGACGCTCGGCGCCAGGCGACGCATTCGGTTGAGCCGCGAGCACAGCCAGAGACCATAGCGCGAGGCCATAGTTGTGCTTCAAGAACTGTTTCTTCGTACCGCGCACCTCATCCATGAAACGCTCGAGTACTTCATCGTGGGGTTGTACACCGAGCGTCGCGTGAGACCACAGCGTCATGCTCAGTCTGTATGAATCGTATCTATCAAGCGTTGCTGCTGCGCGACGCGCGATGGCTTGGAACGTCTCTGGCGAGAGCATGTAGCGAAGTTTCGCAAAGACACGTAAGAACTCCGTCAGGGCGGCCGAATCGAGTGAATCCAGCGATTTCAACACCGTGCTCTCGAGCTGCACCATGACGTTTGCGCCGGGGTCGTGGTTCTCGCTCGCAAGGGCCGAGCACACAGTGAAAATTTCGATCGGTGTGAACTCACTCGCGTTCTGCCAGACGCAAAATGTGGCGTTGGCAAACAGACGGATACCGCTCAGCTTGAGCCTACTGAAGCCATACATAAGATTGGCGAGATGTTTTGGGGGACAGTCGTCCAACTTGGACACCGCCTCGTCCTCGAATCGTCGCACAAACTCATCGCTTGGTCGATGCGATAGACGAGCGAATGCCCAAATCACAAAACCCAAATCAGCAATGTTGCTCTCCGCAATTGAATTCAAGAAGACACTCTCTAGATCGGCCATGGTCAATCGAAGCGCCTCTCTTGTGGACTCCTCGAATTGCGAGGGACACCAAGAATCGGCGACATAATCATCGTCGCAATCATTGAAGCGTTTCAAGATGCCGTCGTTGAACGTGGCGAACGCGCCTGCGATGAGAGAGACGCTATGTGGCGTCAATGACGACGTTCGCCTCCGTACCTCGCCGAACATTTTCAACGCGTCAGCGTCTAATAGCTGCGAGCCAGCGTTCGATAATCCCCAGAGCAGCATCGAGAGCTCGTAGTCGCTGAATTCACCCAGACGCGAGAAAGACTCTTGCACCAGCGCCTTGAGAAAGTCTCTCGATCCCAATCCTCGAATGCGCGCATACGCCGACGCAACGTTCGCCAGTTCTTGCGGTTTGCAGCACGTGAGATCGAGAGTCCGTTCAAGAGCGATCGCGACGTCCTCTCGCACCGCGTCACCGTGTTTCGTGAGCGCCCAGAACGTGATGGTCAACTCGTACGGTTTGTAGTCTTGCGCATTTCGCTCCAGGTGCGTCTCAAACGCATTTCGAATCCCTTGCGGCATTCGCATTTCCAGCTTCGCGTACGCCCAAGCGACGTTCGCAACGCCTTGTGGTTTGAACTTGGTCCCCAATCGCTCCAGAGCGCGCTCAAGCGCGTCCCAAAACGCATCGCCATCTCTGCGCCTAGAGCGACTGAGATGTCCGCACGCCCACGCCATTTGCGCCGCCGAGCGCGGTTGCATCTTGTCCATCGTCTCGATCGATCGCGCCTCCACCTCTTTGAACCACGTCGCGCGCGACATCTCTCGCACGACTTCCTCTCGCGCGCGACGCCCACCTCGCGCGAATTTCGCCAATCTGGAGTACGTCGTTGACGCGTTCACGTCTGACATTGCGCTCGCTCGCCCTCCGACCACCGCCGCCAACTCCTCCACCGTCTCACACGTCATCAGCGCCTTGTTCATCCGTAACGACGCTTCGAAACTTGAATTCTCAACACCTTTCGATTTCGTCTTCGTTTTCTCTCCCTCGGACGTCGACGTCGCCGCGTCGCCGCTCGCGCGTCTATCCGCCGCGCTCGAGTCATCCTCTTTCCGCTCCGGGACGCCCCGCCGTCCCGCCCCGCGCCCTCGCGCCCGTCGTCCGATCGATCGCGTCCTCGCGCTACGTTTAACAACGCCCGCTCGATCGCTCGACGCCTCTGTCGTCGTCGACGCATCGTTCGCGTCAACGACCTCGAACGACCTCGAATCTCCAAACTTTGCGTCTTCATTACCTCGAGCGCCTCGAACGACGACCCGCGCGCGCGTCGTTCGAGCGCGAGCCACTCTCCACGCGTGGACGCGCGCGTGGACGCGCGCGACGCGTCCGAGCGCGAACATGGCGCGAGCGGCTACCAATGCGGTGGTTATTTCCTGACGCCCCGTCATGCACTTCGACGACGACGCGGACGCGCCGACGCGCTCGATGGACCCCGCGAGCGCGCCGAGCGCACCGCTTCGGCGCGCGCGATCGCAGCGAAGCGAGGCGAGCGAATCGAGCGCGACTTCGTTGGAACAGTGCTCTAGGGAAAAGTTCAGTTTCGACGTTCGTGACGGCGCGCGCGCGCTCGAGCGTCTGGATATTGGCCCGCGGACGAGAACGCGATGCGGAACACTGCCCAATGGCATGCGGTACTACGTCGCGGAGTCGCGGAAGCCAAAGGAACACGCGGCGTTGGCGCTGTGCGTCGACGTCGGGTCGATCGCCGAGCGGGACGAAGAGCGGGGCGTTGCGCACATCGTGGAACACTTGGCGTTCAGAGGGACGCAAGCGTATCCGCACTTTGCCATTGTGAACTTTTTGGAATCCATCGGCGCGGAGTTCGGTGCTTGTTCGAACGCGTACACGAGCATGGACGAGACGGTGTACGAGTTGGTACTTCCGATCCAGAAGGCGGAGGTGTTAGCGACGTCGATGCATATTTTGAGTGAATTCGCGAGAGGTACGTTTGGATATGATTGACACAGCGCGTGCGGTGATGTCCTTTTTCGCTCGGTGCGCTCGAATCAAACGATGGACGATTGACGAGGCGATCTTTGTTGTATGCTCGACAGGCGTGCGCATAACTGATGAAGACGTGGAGACTGAACGCGGTTCGGTAATGGAAGAGTGGCGATCAGGACGAGATGCCCGTGGGCGGGCGGCGGAGGCTTACTGGAAGACGCTCATGGAGGGATCACTCTACGCCGAGCGGTCACCCATCGGTTTAGAGGACGTGATACGACATGTCGAACCACGGGTGTTGAGAGACTTCTATAACAAGTGGTACCGTCCAGACCGCCAGGCGGTGGTCGTTGTCGGCGATTTCGTGGACCTGGACGACGTCGTGAGCTTGATTGAGAGCACGTTTCAGGATCTGAGGCCGCACGAAAGTCAGCCCGAGGAGACGCCGACGTTGGAGCGCCCGGACACGACGACGATGCAACACGCGACGCCGCGCGTGGTGACACACGTTGATCGCGAGCTCAGGCAGACGGCGTTGACGGTGACTTTTAAGTTTCACAGCATCGCCATCGACACGCCGAGAGGATATTACTTGAAAACAGTTGAAGACATCTTCAAGACAGCACTAGATAACAGATTGTACCGCATCATGCGTCGAGCAAAACCGCCGTTTTTCAACGCTGGAGGTATCATCGAGGACGCAACGCGCACGACAACTTTACTCAGCGTCCAGGCGCAGTGCGCAGAGGGGCGAGCCGATGAGGCTCTGATAGCAGTTTTGCGAGAGCTCGCGCGCATTCGTTTGCACGGTATATCCGAGCAAGAGTTAAAAATTGCGAAATCACGAATGCTGGCCGATACAGAACAGCTTTATGCCGAGCGCGAGCAGACGTATTGCGAATCAGTTCGCGACGAACTCATCATGAACTTTCTCCGTGGCGACCTCGTGATTGGTGCCGAAGACGAGGCATCGCTCGCAAAGGCGTGCATCGATCGAGTATCACACGAAGATGTCATCGCGTTCGCTACTCAGTTGCACGTTCGGAATTCTTGCGTGATTCGAGTGCAAGAGGGGAGGAGGACCACGGGCGAGGCTGCCCTGAGGGCAGCCATCGAGCACGTGCAGAAGGAGGAAGCGAAAGGTATGATCGAACCAAGTGAAGTTTTTTACATCCCAGAGTCGTTAATGGATCTCACTTCGTTGGTTTCCGGCACTATAGTCAACGGTCGCGACTTACCAGCCCTTGAGACAAGAGAGGTCATTTTGAACAACGGCATGCGCGTCGCCCTTCGCGTGACAGACTTTTTGGACGATCAAGTGCTGTTTCGCGGCGTCGCGAGGGGTGGGTTATCGGAAGTGCGAAACGATGAGTACATAGATGCCATGTGCTCGAATATGATCGCCGGTGAGCTCGGAATGTATGGCCACCGGCCAGACGTGTTCGACGACATTGTCGCCGGGTTGCGATGCGACGTTCACGCGAGCGTCGGCATGTATCGCCGAAACATTGAAGGCGAGGCGTCGCCGGTCGACATAGAAAATGCGCTTCAGTGTATTCACCTGTTGTTCACGCACAACGTGGGGACGACGAACGATCCGGGCGTGCTGGAAACGCTCATGCTGATGCAAGAGGAGAAGATACGGAATCAATCACGAGATCCGGAGAGCAAGTACAGCAACGTGGTTCGATCGCTCGTTTACGGTGATTCGTATCAGAGTCAGACAATAACAGTGAAGTCGTTGCACGAGATGGATAGCACCAAGGCGTGCGCGTTCTTCGATGAATGCTTCCGAGACCCATCAGAGTTCACCATAGTCTTCGTGGGGGCGATTGATTCGACAACATTTGTGCCGCTCGTGGAGAAATACCTCGGGTCGATTCCATCGAAGAAACCAGAGAAATTCTTGCACATCTTCGAGGGTATCAGACATCGAGAGCGACGGGTGACTCCATTCCCGCTCAAATTTCCGAATCACGTCATAAAGCGCACTGTACGTGCACACATGACGGATCCAATGTCAAAGGCTTCGATAACGTTTCCGGTGCGATTCCGAAATCCAGACTTTGGCGGACCGCCGACACTCCTCGGGGGCCGAGAACTCACGGTGGCGAAGTTTAAGACAGTGATGACGGCATCTATCATCGAGAGACGACTTTTGGCAGTCTTGAGATTTGAGTACGGTGAGATTTACACATGTCATGCGAACGCGTCTTTTGCGTATCAAGATCCTGACGTCGCTGGCGAGATGTATTCCGGCGACATCATGGTTTCATTTTCGTGCGCTCCGGAGCGAGGCGTGCACCTGGCCAAGCACGCGCGCGAAGTCGTGAATAAGCTTCGAACGCACGGCCCGAACGAAGACGAGGTGCAAGCCGTGCGCGAGTGTGAGACTCGCGATTTTGAAGTTAACCGCCAAGAGAACGCCTTCTGGCGAGAGTACATCACCGAGCTGTACAAATCCAGGCTCATGGGAGCCGGCATATTAGACGGTGACATCGAGGCGCTCTATCGCATGACTGAAGAGGTTCGCGACGATGTCATCAAGTCCCTCTCGCCCGATGTCGTGCGTGAACATCTCCGAGCTGTGTTGTCCATGGACAACCACGTTACCGTCATCCTCAAGCCTCAGCGTTCGACGTTTCGCCGTATCTTCATTCCGGCTTTCGAGACGCGCGGAGAAACCATCTATTCCGTATTATACCTCTCCGGCATCGCGCTGGGGATCGGTGCGTTGTATGCGCGCATCAAAGAGAAGCGACAATAGTGAATTTAATTCATCACATCAATCACGTTTCATCGCGGGAGGTGAACCGACACTTTCAAGACAAGAAACATCTTCTCACTGTTCGACGCGCGCGATGTTCACGGCGAGCGTGAAGAGCTCGGACATTGTCCCGAAGAGCTCGACGAATCACTCACGACACGCACGAGTTGCTCGCGGCGCGCGTGCGTCGGCGCAACACCGTCCCACGGGCGGTGAGAGCTCCATGGACCGGCTCGTGCTGAGTGACCCAGACCCATTCTCGGCGAAGGCGCAAGACTACATGAGCCAACCGGTGGCCTTCTTACGACCGGAGATGGAGTTGAAGGACCCAGTCGTGAAGAAATTTTTGAAGCGATACACCGGAGTCCCCGTGTGCGACGCGTCTCGACACGTAATCGGTATCGTCTCGCATAAGGACCTCGCCTTGGCGACGGTGGCAAACGACAGAAAGCTCAACGGAAGCAAAGTGAAGCATGTGATGAAATCTCCCGTGCACTGCGTCACCGGGCATACAAGCATAGCGGCATGTTGGGCCGAGATGTTGAAGTGGAAGATCTGGCGTCTTCCCGTGGTGACCGCGGACAAGAAACAACTCGTCGGTATCGTTTCTCGTAGCGACGTCTTGACGCCGCTCATGAACACCGCCGAGGACGCACGAACGCTCGGAGAAATGTTGGAACGCGAAGAACATCTCTCGCAGTTGGAAAAGATGGAAGTGGAGTTTGATGAAGACTCCGCGATGACGGCTGAATTTTTCACTGACGCCGCAGACGCCGCTTTGGATGACGATTTCTCGGACGACCAAGACGACCAAGACAATGACGTTTATCCCGAGGATGACCAATTCTGGTACCCGACCACGATGACTCGCACACGGTGATGACGTTATCATTACTTTACCCTCGTTCGTCGATTCTTTACAGTTTGACGTCAACATTCACTTCATCGCCATCGTTCTCAACTGCTTTCGTCGCGTTCACTCGAAATATCCCGCCACGAAATATCCCGCCAAGGCCTCGTACGTCGCTTCACACACCGACGCTGCCGACGCTCCCGCGGCATGCGCGACGCCATCGACGCATTAGAACCTCTCGTTGCGAAGAATATCGACGCCCTGTCAGAGCTCTTTCTCGCTCCCGCAGTCGTGGCGCTGCCAAATCGTTTCGAACACCAAATTCGTGATTGCGAACGAATCCAGTCCGAGCTCGGTGTCACCACGTCGAAGTGCGCATCATACGCAGCACACTCGCGGACGATATTCATGTGTGCCGCATCGCTCGGCGCGAACGGAGAAGGGTTGGCGCGAGCGATGGTAGAGGAGGGATCGAGTGCGCAATTGGCGAGCGCGTGCGGGAAGGCATGGACTGCGGGCGAGGCGGCGGCGACGAGAGCGATTCGGATGACGCCGTTTGGGACGCCGAAGATTTTGAGTGACGTGCAGTGGGAGCTTCGCGTACCGATGACGGGGAGCGAGAGAGAGTTACTGGCGAGCTTGGACGTGGAACTCAGCGAACAGACGCCAAGCGGGAAACCGAGGCAGGACAGGTTCGCCTGCGAATTCGATCACGCTGAGCTGGTGCATTTCTTCACGAACGTGGAGAAGATTCAGACGCAATTAGACGCGCTTATTTAATCTCTTCTACAATTTCTACTGACGTTAGTATTGTCAGCGAGGCGACATGAGCGGCGAGTCTCTTATCACGCTCGGCGACTTCACGTCACGAGAGAGACCAAACTCGAGCAACGATCCGCCATCTTCACCATCATCGTCGAAATACGTCTCCCCGTCTATGGTGCCTGTGTTTCCAACATCCTTGCCGTCTCGCTTATTGCGCTTGTTGATGTAATCAAACAAGACGGGCGCGTTGCCTTCGTTCAGTTTCCCTTTGGCTGCGAAGAGCTGATACGCGGCTCGGATGCCGTCCACGTTCGCCGTAAACGGTTGTAGCGTGCTCGTATCTCTTGGCGGTTGTGTCAACTCCACTTCTGCGAAATTATGCGAGCTACCGTACGTTGTCTTCGCCTTCTCGTCGATGGGATCGTACTCGTACACGATCTTCTTGGCACGTTTCCTGCGCCTTTTACGACTCGCCTTCGAGTTCTTCAACGTCGTCTCAAGCGCGTGCGCCAGGGATTCTGCGCTCAAGTCGTCCGATGCTTGCAAAAGCAAGCGCAAAACTTCGCTGTGCGCTTCTAAACTCGTCGACGCGGCGCGAATTAGAAGACCGTCCACTGCGTGCTTCCAAATTGCGTCCTTGGTGGTGATTTCTTTGCTAGAGAACAGTTTCGCGATGCTTTCCGCAAGAGTAGTCGCGAACGCTCCCTCGTAAGCGATCGTCTCATCCGTGAGTACCTCCACTGCGAGTTCCAACACTTCCGTGGCTGTGCGGATGTTCTTTCTCTGCAAGCAAATCAATGCATACGTCAACATGATCTTGCGCACACAGGGAGACCAAATCATCAACGCCTTAAACTTCTCTCTCATCTCAGCGTTCATGTCGTTTGTCGGCCCTTCTTCGCTCTCTATCCCGTCGTCGCTCTCGCGCAACATCACGCTGAGCATCAAATCGCTGAGCAGTGGAAAAAACTTGACGCAAATTTCTTTCGGCGTCGCTGGAATGTAGTTCACCTTCTCCATCAGGCACGCTTGCGAGGTGAGTGCGAGACAGATGAATTTCGTCAAGTCGTCCAGTCTGCGTTCTTTTGCCGGCACTCGCTCGGCCTCGATGACGCCTTCGAGCGTGCGAACCGTCTCATGCAAAAGAAGGTGCAACACGGGCGGATCTGCTAAAATCATGCCCATGTCTCCGGGTACTTGCTCAAATTTTTCGTCCTTCTCGTGCGCATCGTGAACGCGACTGATGCTACCACCATCGTCGCTTTCATTTCCATCTTTTTTCGGCGCCACGCCGAGGCCGACCAAACGAAAGCGGGTCGGCCCCTGCGGCTTCGGCGGCTTGCGCCCGCCCATCTTATTCGCTTTTTCTACCGCTGTTTCCAGAATCGTTCCCATCTCCTTCAGACGACGACCGTCCAAGTACCGGTCCCGAATGCACGTATCCATGAGCCACGCTAGGCGATGGCACTTGTCCATCGAGCACATCTCCATTTCACCCGCGTCGTGGAAAGCCATGAGCAGTTGCGATCGAAGCGAGCACGCCGCGTCGTCCCCACTATTCGCAAAATGTGCTCGACACAAGCGAACGATCTCAATGTACAACCGTGGTGTCTTACCGATGATTCGCATCAGCCTCTGTACGCTCTCGCTCTCCTTGCGAATCTTTTGCCTATTCATCGTCCCGCTCACGTCCCCTTTCTTCTTCGCTCCCTCCTCTCTTGGCGACCAATCCTCGTCCGCCCGCAGCGGCGTGAGCTCGATATTCTGATTTATCATCGCCTCTATCGTAGCCGTCTCCTCGCCGTACGCCATCATCGACGGCGATGCGTGTCGTCTCAACAACTGCCAATCCAACGCCCAACACTGTCGCTGCACCTCAACCGGAAGCTGTCGAAAGATCACCAAGTCCCGACTCACCTGCTTCAGGTACGAGCTCGGCACCGGGGACATGTGCGCAAAAACTGCGAGGGGAACCGCTTTCAGCTCCTCGATCCCGATGTACGGGAACGACGCGTCCAGCAAGCTCAACAACGTCCCTTGAGGAAGCGTCTCGACTCGGCGAATCAACTCCTTCGTCGCTCTCTCCAGCATCTCTCGATACGCCTCGCCCCTTCTGATTCCTAACGCGCTCAATAAACCAAGCACGGGTTCGGCATCGCGATCGCTCAGCGCCCCGAGCGCGCGCACGCGCTCCATCGACGCCTGCACGTCGGTCGCTCTCGATAAAGTCGCGGCGATGAAATCCCCACCCTCGCCGCCGATCAAGTACCGCGGCGCGCCCTCTCGATCGACCACCGCAGGCGCGGGTCGGACGTCCTCCGTGTCCGGCGTCGCCGGTCGCGGGTCGTTCGGGAGCGACGCCATGACGCGCGGGGGTGTGACGAGCACGTGGATTGTATTTGCACTCGATGTATCTTTTGGAACTCGAGCAGGTTCGCGTCACCGCGCGACGCGTCGACGCGTTGAAGGCGCACACGCGCGCCCCGAGACGAATATAAATGTCCGACGCCGCGGTCGCGCGCGGGCGAGCGCGTTTAGACGCGTTCAGGGCGTTGAGAAAGCACGCGCGAGGTACGAATGTGAAATCCGAGCGCACAGATTCGACGGACGTTTCATCGGTTGGCGCATCGCTCGAGGTGACGGAGGACCGAGCGGTGCGCGCTGAGGCCCTGGTCAACGACATTAAACCGTCTGATGTGATCGTGAGCGTCCTAGCGGACGTTTCAACGACGGAGACGGCGGACGCGACGACAGCGGAGGAGACGAGCAGGACGGCGGAGGCGGCAACGGAACGCGAGCGCGCGGAACGATCGGAGAAGAAGACGAACGCGCACTCGGCACTCGCGAATATGAACGATGAATCGACGCGGATCAGCGAGCGGGTGACTTCGATGACGGCGGAGACGGAGGCGAAGACAGAGCGGCGGAGCGAAGGCTTACTTGGCGCGACGACATCCACAGACAGGGCGCGGGAGCAGTACGAGCGAGTGATGCGAGCGATCAATGGGAATGGGGAGATAGATGCGAGTCTGTTCGAGCCCGTGTCCGCGAGCTCGTTGAAATCGGAAGAAGAGGAGGATGAGGAGATGAATGTGGAAGCTGAACCGTTGGCGACGTACCCGGATTTAGATGCCATCATCGCGCAAGTACAGCGTAACGATGTGATCGGTGGCGCGCCCGCGCGCGCGGTTCGAGACGATCAGAGTGAGATCGCGATGTTACAGGAGGTCATCGATGACATGACATCAGAAAAGCTCGGGCTCTTGCGAGGCTTGCAAAGATCGCAAGCCATGGTTGACGACTTGGTGGGGGAAAACGAAGCGCTCATGCAACGTTTCAACGAGACAAAGTCGCAGTTGTCCGCCTTGCAGGGTGAATACGATCGTCTTTGGATGCAGCGCCAAAGTGAGCGCGCAAACATGCCTGGGGATGTCGACGCGTTGCAGATGGGCGGACCTGATGCGAACGAACGCGTGCAAGCTCTCGCGGCGGAGGTCGTCAATTTGGAAGAGCGCCTGCAGGAGTTCGACGAAGTGAAATCGGAAAATGAGGCGTTAAAACTCGAAGTGAGACGATGCAACGCTCGTACATCTGAAGTCGAGCTTGTTCTCGAAGCGACGCAAGAGCAAAGTCGTCTTTTCAAGGAACGTTTTCAAGGCTCAGAGTTCATGAAGACGATCGAGTTGCTCGAAGGAGACGACGCTGCGTTCCTGTGCGCGTGGTTGAAACGAAAGGACACCGACGTACTGAAAGAGGCACGAGCAACCGCGATATCGAAGACGATCGATCGTGAGAGATCTGACGCTCTAAGAGAAGCCGAGCAAACGTCCGGTGAAGTGGACGAAGAGCAGATTGAGTTGTTGTCTTCCATAGACACGTTGCTCGAGCAGTTGCAGGTCGAGAAAACGAATTCGAGGAGGCAACTCACGAGCGCGAACGAGTCGATCGAGCAGCTCAAGGTGCGTAACGAACTGCTCGAGTCGCAATTGGCGAAAGTACTGAATCAACTCGCGGGAACGCAAGAGGACTTGAGCGATGAAGACGATGCCAAGCCGCGACGACGCGGATTGTTTTCAATGTTTGCTCGTCGACGATAGAAATCGATATTTACAGCTAGCTACTTAGCGCTGAGATTTTCGAATACGTGTACTTTGCCAGTGTATCCAGTGGAGACGATGATTCGCCCGAGCGCGCCCGTCAATTGCTCCAGAGGGAACGCCCTGCTGTTGCGCACTTCATCTGGCACAAATTTCGCTACTGTGACGTGCTGCTCCTCCGTGCGAAACTTTTCGTAAGCGCGCTGCTTCTGCGTCGGACCCGCGCAACAACCTTGCACACCCATCATATTTGCACGCCAAATGAACACATCTGGCTGTTCGCTCCCGCTGATCAAAAATTCTCCGTCTGAAGAAAAAGTTGCTTGAATTTGTGCGTTCTGGTTGTGATGACCTTTAAACTTGCACAACACGCGTGGTGGAACGGCCTCTGAGTCGAACAACCGAAGTCTACTGTCATTCGAGGTGACGAGCAAGCGCTCTTCTTCGCCAAAAAGCTTGACGTCGAGACCGGTGATCTTTCTGCCCACTCCCTTCGAAGAACGAGCGTTCTTAATTTGAATTTGATGAGAATATTCAAACTTGAAACCTTCCGTGCCGTAGGAGTGGCACGAACCTTTGTGTGTGCCGACGAAAGCGCGTGTTCCGTCGGGGGTGAACGTGCAAGACGTCACCATTTCACCTATATCAACCCAATCAACAACTTTCAAATCAGGAATGTTCCACAATCGGATTTTCCCATCGAGTGAACCGGACATAAAATACTTGTCGTCCACGGGATTAAACGAGATTGATGTCACGAAGTCTTGGTGCGTGAAGATTCTTAAGCACTCTTCCATCGTCGTGTACCACAATCGCACGGTTTTGTCCATCGAACTCGATAAGAGCCAATCCGTGTGTGACCAACAGAGGTCTAATATATCCCCGCGGTGTCCCTTGTACAAGCGCACGGGAGCGTCGTCAAACAAGTTGTCGCCGCGCTTCTTGCTGTCTAGCGACGTCTTCCACACGCGAACTATCCTATCCTGCCCCGCCGTTGCGAGAAATTTCCCATCTTTGCTGAATTCGAGTGTCCAAATTGCCCCCTCATGCGCGTTGAGCGTTTGGATGACGCGAAGGTCCTTGAACTCTTTCTGCCCGCCTTTCGCGTGCACATGCACGTGAGGTTTCCCATTCGGCAACCCCACCTCATTTACGAACCGATCCACGCTCAACGGCGTCCCCGTGGTTGCGTCTTTCACGATCTTACGCGTGGCGTGATGCGCCGTGAGCAGCGCGCTCGCCTCAGCCTTATGCATGACGAACTCCTTCCCCGTATCCACGTCTCTTATTCTCAGCGTCCCCGCCTGATCCATTCTATTCTTCTTACACCCCTTCAACGGAGTCTTCCGCTGGTCACCCAACGCCGACTCAACGTCGGAGCCTTCGTTCCACTGTTCGCTCCCGCGCTCGAGCGCCTCCAAACCGGTCGGCGACGTCAACGGCGAGTGGAATCCCCCACCCGCGCTCTCGTTCGTCCTGCGTCGTCAAAGATCGCGCGCATCATCGTCAGTTTCACCGTTTCCAACACGCACCCGCGCGCGACGTCCTCGCGTCCCTCGTCCGTCGTTCCGCCCTCGCCCGCGCGCGCGCCCCAATTCAATTCCCCTTCCTCCGTCCCTCGCCCTCCACGCCCGACGCCGCCGTCTCACGTCTCGCGCGCGCGCGCGACGATCACGGCGCGATCACACACCCGCTCGGCGACGGGTGGTCGCTCCCACCGTGCCCGTGTTCGCTCGCGCTCGAGCGCGTCTCGAACGCGAAATCCGCGCTCATGTACCGACTCGACGTGCGATGACGCGTGTGCGCCTCCTTCACCGCGATCGACGCCTCGCCGCGCGACGCGGACGCGGACGCGGACATCGTCGTCGTCGTCGTCGTCGTCGCGCACCGACGCGGTGTGCCGACGACGACGTGCCGACGGTGTGCCGACGTCCGCGGGCGAATGCTTGGGTCATGACTCAACGTCTCGGGGACTCCACGCGCGCGCGCGAGACGTCGACGCGACGCGCGCGCGCGAGGCGAGCGCGCGCGAGGACGCGCGCGAGGACGGTCTCGCTCGGGGGGGGGGGGCGTCGCGCGCGCGGGCGACGCGGGTGCAAACGCGCGCGATTCATCCACGGGTGGTGGTTTGAATTCGCTTTAACACATCGGCGGTGACGCGCGACGACGCGAGCGAGCGGTGGCGATGCCGGACGCGGCGATGCGGTATAAGACGTGCGAGGAGACGTGGCGAGAGCGATGCGAAGTGACGGCGGAGCAAAAGCAGTACGTGAACGTGTACGGGGTGGTGCGAGACGCCACGGCGGTGTCGAAGACGCGCGGGAGCGATTCGAAGATGACGCTCAAGGTGTACGATGAGACGACGCCGACGGAGGCGATGAAGTTCGGTGGAAGGGATGCAGATGATATTCCGAGTGAGTTGACGATTGTGTTTTTTGATCAGAATCCGTTCGAGCTTCCGAGACCGGCGGACGGGGACGTGATTCGGATACATCGCTTGCAGGCGCAACTGTGGGAAGGACGGCCGCAGTTCGTCGCGAAGACGGGGTCGATGTTGCAGTACGGACACTCAAAGACGTCGTGGTGTTTGTTCAGAGGGGACGATGACAGCGAGGAGCCGTACTCGCAGAGCAGCGTGAAGGCGTCGAACCCGGATGTGAAGCGGGTGCAAGCTTTGAGAGCGTACGCGAGAAAGGCAAAGACAATGCCGTTCATGAACGAGTTCGGTAACGCGGCAGGCGGCGATACTAAGATGCGAAGGATCTGCGATATCAAAGAGAAGGAATTCTTTGATATTTACTGCCTGATATTGGACGCGCACTTCGTTGAGGGCACGGAGGGTTGTTACGTCATGTATGTCTGGGACGGCACGGACGCGCCTCCTCTGCCTTCAAGCATGACAACGTCGCTCTCGTCGACTCGAGAGGATATCCCGATCGACGAGCGAGACTTCCAAGTTCAGAGTGAGTTGGACAAGAGAAAGTTCTATCCTCATGGATTCAATCTAGGCGGTCAAGACATCGTCCCGGAGGGAGAAATGAACACAGCGCTGCCTCTCATCGGGACGGCCTTGCCTGTGTTCATGCACTCCGATAAGCTCGAAGTCGACGAGATTCCCGCCCCGGGAGAGTGGGTGAAAATTCGAAACTTGAATACGCAGATCGTGCGCGGTCAGCTTCAGGGATTCGTGCGACGAGAGACGAGCTTTATTCGTAACAAGACGCCGTTGCAGCCACTTTTGGATGCGTACACTCTGCGCAAGGGAGAAAATGTAGTCACGAGTTGGGGTATGCCCGGACACTCGACGACACTCACGGTGACGAAGCATCCTAATATGCGTTACAGCACGATTCGCGAAATGTTGATGATGAAGCCGCCCATGCGCCACAAGTTGCGCGTGATAGTTAGAGGAGTTAGCCCGAACCTCGTGGACATGTGTCAACCTGGGAAAGGGGGCACGTACGAGTTTGGCGTGCGCTTTCGCATTATCGATGGAACAGACAGCGTGGATGTGAACCTGTGCGGCGAAGAGGCTAAGCAGTTCTTCCACAACGTCGTTCCCATGAATCTCAAGAAGCCGTCAGCGACTCGCGAGCGGCTGAACAACATGCTGTCCACGCTACTCAAGCACGACTCCATCGAAGATTCAGCGGCTTGGATAGATTTGTGCGTCATGCAGTACATCGTGCGTGACGGCAAGACCGCTAGACGCGCGTTTCAGGTCTTCGGTACGTCGATGATCTGATGAGTCTGTAATACCAACCACACCACGTAAAATCACAGTGCCAGTCAAAAGTTGAAAGAGTTTCTTGGACTCAAAGTTACAAGACACGTGGTTTCTATTTTATCATGGCGACAAAGGTTCCTTGTCAGCCTTATTTGTTGGCTTTGTTTTGACGAACGTCGCCACCTTTTCGAGCCAGTTTGTGTACTCACGCTGTTCCTTGTCGAGGTGCGCTTCGACGATGTAGTTTGCGAGATCAGAGTTGATTCCTCTCTCCTCCAGGTACTCGTAAAACTTGTCTTGTACGGTCTCTTCTAGATCCTCAAAGTTAGGACCTGAATACGGGGTGCCCATGAGCGGTGTCTCGTCGTCGTACTCCTCGAAAATCACGCTCTTGATCTCCACGAATTCGCCGTCGGTAACACAGTCGAATTCGAGGTGTTTACTCTCGTCGCTCAACTTGCTCACGACGACGTTAAAATCGATGGAAATCTTGTCCTCGTCATTCTCATCGTCCTCGTCGTCGTACTCCTCCGAGTCCTCCGAATCAAAGGAGTCGTCATCCGTTGAGTCGTACGAATCGTCTTCGTCCTCGTTCTCGTCGTACGGTTCCTCCTGCGCAACGAACGTCACGTGCACCTCCTCGTCCTCCCCGTACGTCCTCGACAGCGACACCTCAGCGTCACCATCCGTCTCATTCACCGTGAACGGCGTCGGTGGTCCTCGCCTCGCGACATCGCTCGGTTCGTACGCCTCGTTTTCATGTTTCATCTCCCGCAAGAGCGCCTCGCTCAGCGACGACGCCCTATCGCACCCCCCCGCGCTCGTTCGGATCCCTCGTCGTCCCGCGTCGCCCCACCGTCCCGAGCGCACCCCCGCGCCCGTCGTCGTCCACGCCAAACCCCGCGCGCGCACCGGACGCGCCACCGTCGCCGTGGACGACGCGTTTCCCCACGATTGTCCGATCGCGCCCCACGCCCGTGGTCCATCGCGCCCCGTCGACGCGCGACGCGACGCCTGGCGCGCGACCGAGGCGAAGACGTCGGTAAAAAAAGCGCGCATCGCACGCGATGGGGCGATCGCGCGCGCGCGCGTCGCGACGACGTGTGACGCGCGTATTGTGGCTCGCGCGCAACGGTTCGGACGACGCGACGAGCGAGGTGGCACTTCGCGCGGCGCGTTCGAGGGCGCGCGCGGACGGAAGCGATGTCGGCGTCGACGTCGACGTCGGTGATCCCGCGCGCGATGACGGTGATTCGCGGTGTCGTCGGAGGCAGAGGGCGCGGAATCGGGATCGAGCGGCGGCGATGGGGTGACGGGGACTGGACGACGAGACGACGAGGAAGGGCGTCGCGCGCGCGCGATGGTGGGTGGGAGAATGATTCCGAGATCGTGGATGCGATCGTGGTCGTCGCGGGAGGGATCGAGGCGGACGGGACGTTGCCGCCGTGGGTGACGCCGAGGTTGGATCGCGCGCGGGAGCGGTTCGAGGCGACGGGCGGACGGGTGAAGATTTTAGTGTCGGGATCGATGACCCCGCATAAACCGCCGCCGATGGGACCCGGGGGATTTAACGTGCATGAGTCGACGTCCATGGCGTCGTATCTCATGGAGCGAGGGGTGCCGGCGACGGCGGTGCTCAAGGACACGGCTTCGATGGATACCATCGGGAACGCGTACTACTCGCTCTGTTTGCACGCGATTCCGCTCGGATGGAAGCGCGTGGAAGTGGTGACGAGTGCGTTTCATATGGCGCGCACTAGGGCGGCGTTCGAGTGGGTGTGGGGGCTGACACCGCACGGTGAGGTGGACATGCGCTTCGTGAGCACGGAGGACGCCGGGATCTCTGAAACGACGCTGCGCGCGCGCGCCGAACGCGAAGCTGAGTCCGCGGCCGCGCTCAGAGCGAACGCAGCGAAGATCACCACGTTGGCCGATTTTAACGAATGGTTATTCACCACGCACAAGTGTTACGCCGCGGCGCGTCAGCACGAAATCGGCGTCTTTGATGAAGTCAGCTCAGAGGCGATGAAGTCGTATTGATTACATGATACAGTGTAATTGCACAGTAAGTAGGAAAAAGACTCGCGCTCACGCGTGCGCTCGCATCAGTCTATCGAGCACACTATTCACTTCAATCTTTTGTCCCGACGAAGCCATCTCCGAGACCGCGTTCATGACTTGCTGACGGGTGAATCCCATGTTTGCGAAGTCGCCAATCATTTGCTCCAGAGGCACCGCGCCAGACGTCACCGGCGGCGGTGCCATTGAACGCGGAGATTCAGGCGGCGGAGCGCGCGGTGGCTCGGGTGGCGGAGCGTACATTGGGTACGGCGACGATGGATACGCCGTCGGCGGTACCATCTGCTCGTACGACGGCGGCGGAGGCGGACCGTGTTGATGCGGCGGAGGACCGTGATGGTGCGGCGGAGGCGGGCCGTGATGGTGCGGCGGAGGACCACGGTGATCCAGTGGCGGTGGACCGTGATGATGATGTGGAGGTGGACCGCCGTGGTCCGGCGGCGGACCGTGTTGGTGATGCGGTGGCGAACCGCGATGATGTCTCGGCGGCGGCGAACCGCGACGTCTCGGCGGCGGCGGACCGCGATGATGTCTCGGCGGCGAGCGACGTCGACGACGCGGCGGCGACCCTCGACGTCGAGGTACATCCGCGTACCCATCCTCCTCCCGCACGTCTTCGCTCGCCTCTTCCGCCTCATCTCCGCTCGAGTCACTCGAATCTTCGTCATCGTATTCCTCGTCGCGTCGCATCGCCGCCACGCGCGCGCTCAGCGTCTCCACCCGTCCCGTCAATCGTTCCAACACCTCCCCCACGCGCGCGAACCCATCTCTCGAGACGCGTTCGAGCGCTTCGACGCGTGAGATCAACTTCTCCATCGCCTCATCTCGCACGGCGTCCGCGTCGGCGTCGGCGTGACGGATCGAGCGCGATTCGTTCGTCATCGTCCCGGTCGTCGTCGTCGCGGTCGTCTTCTCGTCCGTCACCGCGCGCGCGCGTCGTCGCGCGTCGGACGCGATCGGGCTCAGAAGGTCGAACGGGTCGATGTCTTCGCGCGCGCTCGGCATCGTCGAGCGATGCGGGGTTTGACGACGCGCGCGTCGAGATCTGTGGTCGTGTTGCTGCGAGCTAGGAATTGCGTGCGAAAAGGCTACTACGGTACCGCGGCGCGGTCTACGTGTCGATGTCGGTGCAGTCGATGAAACGCTCGCCTCGCTTAGCGGCGGCAGATACGCGACTGGCCTCGTCCAGGAGACGCTCGCGCTCGGCGGTGCGCGGAGACTCGAGCGCGCTCGCGAGCGCGGCGGAGACGCAGCTCAGAACGGCGGCGATGCGCAGGGCGAAGGAGTAATCGCCAAACAAGTCGTAAAAGTAGCCGGCGACATAGGGAGCGGTGAGACCGGAGAGACCCCAGGCGGTGAAGATTCTCCCGTAGGTTCGGGCGAAATCGCCGTCGCCAGCAACTCTTCGAACCTCGACGGGGATGGTGCTCGCGAACATGCCGTACACGAGCGCGGCGGCGCTCAGGGCGAGCTCACCGGCAATCACGGAAGCCGAGTCCGTGGCGGCCCAAATGAGCGGTCCGACGGCTAAGAGTGGAGTGAACACCAACACCCGTTTCGGGGGAACTCGATCGCACAGCCATCCGCCCAAGATGCGACCGATGGATGTCATCACGGAGACAATCGAGACGCCGCCGATAACGAGCATCTCCGCCGACAGACCGCGCGTCGAAAGGAGAGTGGCGCCGTGAGACATCACCATGAGACCCGAAAACAGTCCCGTCGCCATGCACATCCAGAGCAGGCGAACCAACGGCCTGAGCTTGATGTCTCGTTCCATCTGTTCCAACGTCACATTCTCCTTGTCTCGCATCTTCGCCAAGGGCATCGTGAGCTTGCTCGCTTTGAAGAAAAACACGATGGGAATCGACGACAAGGCGATGATGTTCCCGAGCAACGACAGTGCGTACTGCGCCCCACCGGTAAACACCGCCTCTTTCACCACGGGCGCGAACACGAACGCCCCGAACGCGCGCGCAGAGGTCACCAGACCCGTCGCCAACCCGGCGCTCAGAGGCGCGTACGGCGACATTTGCACCGAAAGCCCGTACCCTAGCCCAGAGGCGAACCCGAACATCACCCCATACCCTAAAAACAACGGCCACGTCGCCCCCAACGGCACCGCGCTCGAGGCCACCCACAAGCCGCACGCCGCGAGCGCCGCCGCGAGCGCCGCGACGCGACTCGGCGCAAACTTCGCGTACACCCACGGTCCCGCGAACGACATCGCGCTCACCGTCCCGATCGTCCCGATCGAAAACACGCTCGACAACACCGCCCGTCCCGTTCCCAGCGACAGTTCGAGCGGGACGAGATAAATCGACCAACAAAACAACGTCCCGAGCAACAGATTCAACGCGAGCGCCCCCGCGTACCCGAGCGTTCGTCGTTTCCGCGTCGACGGGTCCCCGATCGCCGTCTCCGCCCCCTCATCCTCGGTCTCGAATCCATCCCACGACGCGTTGCGCACCGATCGCGCGCGAACGTCCGTCGTCGTCGTCCCCGTTTTCGCCGTCGGCCCTCGTCCTCGCGCCGCCGTAAAACACCACCGCGACGTCGACGATGACGTCGACGCCGCGACGGCGCCCGCGCGCGCGCGTCGCGACGACGCCCGCGACGACACGCGCGCGGGCGTCGCGCCCGGGCGACGGGCGAGCGCCATGCGCGCGCGCCGAAGCGTCGTCACGCGCGCGCGCGGTGGGCGGGACTTTGGCGTGTGTTT